ACTATAGCATTACAGAGGGTCCTCATTCTGAATGTTGACTGAAGGGCACGGTACACTGCTGTGTGAATGCCAGGGCTTTTTTACACTGTGACAGAGTTAACAGGCTTCTTTCAGGATTGTATGAACATATTTACTTGTCCCTTGATGCTGTTAAGGGTTCAGGAGAATCTGGGTTATAAATCCATTTATTCTTCCTTAGATTAACAATGAGTTAAGGTTGTATGGTGTGTAATACACTCTTTTACCATTAAGTGTACATCATGATACCTTTAATTTGATATAATTTTAGGTGTATTGAGAATCGAGGTTAATTTTTGTGCTTGAATAATTTTGTTGTGATGGTATTTTAATGACTCTTTTTAGATGAACAAAATATCTCTTAATTATATGTAACTGTACTTATCTATAAGTTTGTATGATGACCTAAAGTACATGTAGTCAGATTTAGGGGCGGTGGGGTAGCCTAGTGGTTAAAGCGTTGGCTTGTCACGCCGGAGACCCGGGTTCGATTCCCCACATGGGCACAATGTGTTAAGCCCATTTCTGGTGTCCCCAGCCGTGATATTGCTGGAATATTGCTAAAAGCGGCGTAAAACTAAACTCAGTCAGTCAGTCAGTGTAGTCAGATTTACTTGATGCATGTTCAGAATGACCAGTGAATTCCTGGCTCAGAAGCAGCTGCCACAACAACCAGAGAGGCATCGATAATGGTTTTATGTGGAGCACTGTTAAGATTTTCCATTTTGAGATGAAACACTTGTTCTGGCATGGTTTTTCTAGAGGAATAAACAGTATGTTGGCCGCTGGCGATGTCTTTTATTTGCTATTTCACTTCGATACTTATCATTGTAAATGTCCAATCCCAGACTGTGCTGCAGACACTTCAAATGCATAATTCATGATAGATAAGTGGGTGAAAAATCAATTTGATTCAAAGCAACACGTTTGAAAAATGCTATAGCATTTGAGGTCCATTTTTGGAATGGGGCATCCCATAACAGCATTACATTGCAAAGACTAGATAAAACTCCCACCAGCTCTCTACCAATATGTTCATTTAACAAATAAACTAGCGACGATAATGGATAGGGATTGAATGCAATTTCTGACAAAACAGCTGCCAATTCATTTTGGTGCTTGAATCTTTATTCAGAGTCCACTTTTAATATTCAACAGTATACATAACTGATGTTTTCCAGATATTTTATTTGTATATTTACAAATGTTTGTGTTGATCTTGGTAGAAAAGTGGGAAAAATATTGAGTTGACCCCCCAAAATGTGTCCGTGTGTAGTGTTTGAAGTGATCTTGTCAGATTTGGAGTGAACATACATAATTTTTGTGTTGTGAACACAAAGTTTCAGTGGTGTATATTATTTCTCCGACTTTTTAATATTGTTTCAGAAACTGTAACTTTATTCCCTGCAAAATATCCTCTGGTTTATTAAGGTTGAAACAGAACATGGGTTTATAATTGTTTTTGATTTGTAACCAATGAGAAATGATGGAGGGACCTGTAAATTCTACAGCCCACTTTGGCAGAATTCTTTGTGATAGCAAATGGTGGAGATGAGGCAATACCAGTTACTTGACTTCTTAATGTGTGGGGGCGGTGGGGTAGCCTAGTGGTTAAAGCAATGTCACGCTGAAGAACTGAGTTTGATTCCCCACATGGGTACAATGTGTGCAACCCATTCTGATGTCCCCTGTCATGATATTGCTGGAATATTGCTAAAAGCGGAGTAAAACCATACTCACACTCACTCACTCACTCTCTCTTTATGTGTGACATCAGAAAGTTGGATTTTGGGTGATTTTTTCCTTAACACTTTGAATCCAGAAAGTAAATGTTTCCCCTCATTTTAATGGATTCTATTTTCACCTATAGTGTTGAGGGGCGATCCAGGAATGTTTGTGTGGGGGTTGGGGTGGGTAGGGGAAGACGTGTGTTTGACATTAGTTTTACTAGGCTCACAATCACATTTTCCAGCCCCACTGCCCCAGGGATTTACAGTTAATGGCAGTGTGACAATCTCACTTTGGGTGTTTTTAGTGTGCCTCATTTAACAGCTCAGCAGCAATCTTCATAACAAACATGTTGTGTGGTGATCATCGTGCTGTTCAGGAATTGTTCCATTCTGAATGAATTAATGATAGCAGAACAGCAAGGACACTTGATGAGAATATCAATACTGTCTCACCTTTTACCATTACTGAGTTACCTGTACACGAGGTCAACTTGTCAATCAGGTTGAGTTACTGAATGCAGCCCGTCACATGGTGTATGAGGCTGGTTGGGCAATGTTAACATGTCGCCAGCTGCTATAAGACATGCATGACGTACATGTCAGGGAAGTCTTTGTCTCTGGTATCTAGGGGAGGGACATTGTTACGTAGGTAACCCTTCAACATACAAATAAGGTTCAAGGACAGTGACAAGATACCCTGCTACCGTCTATGTCAATGTTTGGTTTGAGTTCTGAGTATTTTCATGGGGAGTATATTTACAAATATTGACTAAGATTGACGCTAATAGTTCAGTAAATATATGCCCTTTTTTGACATTTCAAGAAACATTCATTGATCGTTTTCTTGTTAAGCTTCTTGGACTAACTGATTCCTTACTTTCATAGAAATCCTTATCATTAGATCCCTATCATCAACACAGTCTGTGATAGAGATCCCTATCATCAACACAATCCGTGATAGAGATCCCTATCATCAACACAATCTGTGATAGAGATCCCTATCATCAACACAATCTGTGATAGAGATCCCTATCATCAACACAATCTGTGATAGAGATCCCTATCATCAACACAATCTGTGATAGAGATCCCTATCATCAACACAATCTGTGATAGAGATCCCTATCATCATCACAATCTGTGATAGAGATCCCTATCATCAACACAATCTGTGATAGAGATCCCTATCATCAACACAATCTGTGATAGAGATCCCAATCATCAACACAATCTGTGATAGAGATCCCAATCATCAACACAATCTGTGATAGAGATCCCTATCATCAACACCCTGTGATAGAGATCCCTATCATCAACACAATCTGTGATAGAGATCCCTATCATCAACAAAATCTGTGATAGAGATCCCAATCATCATCACAATCTGTGATAGAGATCCCTATCATCAACACAATCTGTGATAGAGATCCCAATCATCAACACAATCTGTGATAGAGATCCCTATCATCAACACAATCTGTGATAGAGATCCCTATCATCAACACAGTCTGTGATAGAGATCCCTATCATCATCACAGTCTGTGATAGAGATCCATGTCATCAACACAATCTGTGATAGAGATCCCTATCATCATCACAATCTGTGATAGAGATCCCTATCATCAACACAATCTGTGATAGAGATCCCTATCATCAACACAATCTGTGATAGAGATCCCTATCATCATCACAATCTGTGATAGAGATCCCTATCATCAACACAATCTGTGATAGAGATCCCTATCATCAACACAATCTGTGATAGAGATCCATGTCATCAACACAATCTGTGATAGAGATCCCTATCATCAACACAATCTGTGATAGAGATCCCTATCATCAACACAATCTGTGATAGAGATCCATGTCATCAACACAATCTGTGATAGAGATCCCTATCATCATCACAATCTGTGATAGAGATCCCTATCATCATCACAATCTGTGATAGAGATCCCTATCATCAACACAATCTGGGATAGAGATCCATGTCATCAACACAATCTGTGATAGAGATCCCTATCATCAACACAATCTGGGATAGAGATCCCTATCATCAACACAATCTGTGATAGAGATCCCTATCATCAACACAATCTGGGATAGAGATCCATATCATCAACACAATCTGTGATAGAGATCCCTATCATCAACACAATCTGTGATAGAGATCCCTATCATCAACACAGTCTGTGATAGAGATCCCTATCATCATCACAATCTGTGATAGAGATCCCTATCATCAACACAATCTGTGATAGAGATCCCAATCATCAACACAATCTGTGATAGAGATCCCTATCATCAACACAATCTGTGATAGAGATCCCTATCATCAACACAATCTGTGATAGAGATCCCTATCATAAACACAATCTGTGATAGAGATCCCTATCATCAACACAATCTGTGATAGAGATCCCAATCATCAACACAATCTGTGATAGAGATCCCTATCATCAACACAATCTGTGATAGAGATCCCTATCATCAATCACAATCTGTGATAGAGATCCTATCATATCATCACAATCTGTGATAGAGATCCCTATCATAAACACAATCTGTGATAGAGATCCCTATCATCAACACAATCTGTGATAGAGATCCCTATCATCAACACAATACCACCTTATCATCACAGTTTGTCCGAGAGATGCTTATCGTCCCTAGTCTTGCATAAAGATCCTTATCATCAACACAGTGTGTAATAGAAATCCTTATCAACACGGTCAGTCATCGAGATGCACGTCACCAGCAGCATGTTTAGCAAGTTTTTATCTCATACCACCATCTGTATGTACTCTCTGTGTTTCAGTCTGTATGTACCCTCCATGTTTCAGTCTGTATGTACTCCCTGAGTTTCAATCTGTATGTACTCCCTGTGTTTCAGTCTGTATGTACTCCCTGAGTTTCAATCTGTATGTACCCTCCATGTTTCAGTCTGTATGTACTCCCTGAGTTTCAATCTGTATGTACCCTCCATGCTTCAATCTGTTTCAATCTGTATGTACTCCCTGAGTTTCAATCTGTATGTACCCTCCATGTTTCAGTCTGTATGTACTCCCTGAGTTTCAATCTGTATGTACCCTCCATGTTTCAGTCTGTATGTACTCCCTGAGTTTCAATCTGTATGTACCCTCCATGTTTCAGTCTGTATGTACTCTCTGTGTTTCAATCTGTATGTACGCTCTGTGTTTCAATCTGTATGTACCCGTCATGTTTTATTCTGTATGTACCCTCCTGTTTCAGTCGGGCCCACACCATCGTTGGCATCACGCTGCTTCAGAAGTTTGTCAACGCCGCTGGGGAGGAGACCACCAAGTCTGCTGTCATCAACCTGGTAGATCTCGCAGGAAGGTCAGTCTGTGGCCGGGATAGTTGAAGGCCATTTATCTCACGATGGATGATATGATTGATAGGGTATTGTTATTTGAAACATATTCATCATCTTTTCTGGAAGAAACTGAAATTTTTTGGTCAATTATTGAAGGTGCCACTCAGAGATTCCTTGGGTTACAGGGACAAAGACAAAATTTAGCCTTTATTCAAATTGAATATACCTCCATGTTTTGAAGCTCCTGGAAACATGGCAAAGAATGCCTCTGTTTTACTGCTGTGGTATTATGAGATATAAAGCAGTGCTGATCTTCTGATGTGGACCGGTAATTGCTAGCTGTCCAGGTTAAATCTTGTTGGAGACCATCTACCCACCAAATTAAACTCATATCATTAGATTAGTGTAAATTGGTCAAGTTACTTTTGTAAACGTTTAGCATAATATGTCTAGTATTTACTGTCATCCTCTTAAACACACATGTTTGCAGTTTTACTATGTAAAGGTATTACTACTTCCTGAAGCTCCTTAGTGAAGGGACCGCCTCCGTGGTGTAGTGGTTAGAGCATCCGCCCTGAGAGCGGAAGGTCGCGGGTTTGATCCCCGACTGCGTCATACCAAAAGACATTAAAATATGGTACTTGTTGGTCCCTGTCCTGCGCTCAGCATTAATGGGTACAACAAGGACTGGTCGGCTCGGAGTCAGTATAATGTGTCTGAGTGGGGTATTCATGCTTCACTGCGGCATGGTATCTCAGTGGGCTAGCACCATAAAACCAGCTTCAGACTGGGCTAGTACAAGCAGCCGCACATACACGTACACACGCATGCACATCGTCATATGAGCGAAATATTCTCAAGTACGACGTTAAACTCAATTTCACCTCACCTCACCTTAGTGAAGCTCTAGAATGTTACTGCCAGTACACACACCTACGTCTCAGAGAGTGTTTCATGAATGCTGAGGGATGTCAGTAGTCTTCCAGATTGTGTTAAACTGTCTCTTGAATGTATGTTTTCAAAGACCTGTTTTTGAAAATAATTTTGAAAAGCTAAAATTCTTAAAATTCCATTTGTTCAACCAGATGGTACAATGAAGTTTACAATATGTTTGACAGTATAACTTGAATATGGCTAAAAGAGATGTGAAACTGTTGAAATAGCCTGTATCTAACAAAGACAGGTGCAGAAATAACAGGTGCACAAACATCCTTTCCAAATTTTAACTAAATAAAAATACTTAATGTTTCACCTGTATTTAATTTATGATTTAAAAGCTGTGTTACATTACTTGGAAAATACCTGTAATTAGAAGAGCAATATTGATTATTTTCAGAACATAGCATGTTAGAATAGTATCCTAGTGCCGCTCATGATACAATACATATTTTGTAACCAAAATGATTGTGTTCATTTCTTGCTTTCATTTCTTGCTTTCTCTTCCAGTGAGAGGGCGGAGAGCACTGGTGCCACTGGCGACCGTCTCAAAGAGGGCGCCGCCATCAACCAATCTCTGTCATGTCTGGGAAACTGTATTGCTGCTCTGGCAGAGAAGAGCTCTGGAAAGAACACCAGAGGTATTATTTGTCTCCATTAAGAGATGTCAAGCTGGAAATGAATAATTTAGTATAGATAGTGGCAATATTGAAATATACGCAATTGTCATATTACATGTCACTTTACGTATAATATTGCATCTGTATGTTACAGTCTAGCAGGCATAAACACCATACTGGGAGAATAATTCCAGCGGTAACATGCTGGCACGAAAAGGGACATTTGAAGTTCTCTGAACCAACTTATGTCCTTAGTTGCTTGTGTGTTTCTATCTCATTCTGGCCATGATAGCACTCTGGATCACATAGATCCATCTCCTAATGTCAAGATAACATGCCATTATAGTACTGTTCAAAGAATACAACTAACTCACTCTTTGTGCTGCATCCTCAAGGGCAGATAACCATACATCAAGGGCATGTAACCCTTTCTTGGGGACCATTACTTCAATATGAACTTGTTTTAGTGATTGAATTGGAACTTTGACAGCACTTTAAATAATAGATAGTTATATCATGGTGTGTCAACTTATATGTAAAAGATGTTTAAAGTGCTAATGTTTTAAACTCTTTGGACAAACATGTAACTAAGGGTATGGAGGTGACAAACCACAGATAATTATCTGGGATTTGAACCCAGCCACAGCTGATTTACCAGGTAGCTAAGTGATGGCACTTTAACAGTGAATTATGGTTACTGAGATAAATTTAGTTGATCGCAATGTGAAGGTATTGCTGATACAGATAAATAAAGATAAAGCTACATACATCACAATGTAATGTCTGATACTTCTGGAAGGTAATTGTCTGTCATCTTGCTGCTGCAGTTCCGTACAGAGACTCTGTGTTGACAAAACTGCTGAAGAATGCCTTGGGAGGAAACAGCAAAACCATCATGGTAGGTGTCCCCAGAACTAGTTAATCATAACCTCTGTCTTAGAGTGCTGTCAGTCTAAGACAATACTTGGGATCATATACCTCTGTCTTAGAGTCCTGAACAGATTTCAAAAGCATTATGGCTTGCACTTTCACAAATGCAATTGTGCATATTGTATTCAAACTGCAATGCTAATGAGCCTAATGTACAACATTATAACATGGCCATATGTTAGTATAATTCAAAATCATCTGAAAGAACCTGTATTTTTTAGTCCTTACACACACTTGATTTGTTACCATGATTTTTGTTTAAAGACTTTTTCCTTTTTGCTTAAAAAATTCTGTTATCCAAACATTCGTATTTGACATATTCATCATGAATTAAACATCATGAATATATTAAGATATTCTTATACTGAAAATAAATTGGTATTACATGAATGTGTTTTCCATAATAATAAACCTAGCTGCCACTGACATTCTTTTCTAGAGTGACAGAAGGTATAAGGTTTTAAACTTGATATGAGGATAGAAGTGATGTTGATACGTAGCTGGTGATTGTGTATGTTCCTCTGTGTCCAGATTGCTGCCGTGAGCCCAGCTGACATCAACTATGATGAGTCTCTGTCCACACTTCGATATGGTAAGATGCATTACTGAATTTGTGAATGAGTGAGTTTAGTTTTACACTGCAGTTAGCAATATTCCAGCAATATCATGGCAGGGGACACCAGAAATGTTTCACACATTGTACGGGAATCGAACCCTGGTCTTCGTCGTGATGAGCAAACACTTTAACCACTTGTCATGGCGAAGGCCCGGGTTCGATTCCCCACATGGGTACAATGTGTGAAGCCCATTTCTAATGTTCCCTGCTGTGATGTTGCTAGAATATTGCTAAAAGCGACATAAAATCATACTCACTCACTCCAAAAACATAGTGCAATCTTAGGGTAAAAAAGTAGTTATTTTGGGTCAACCATATGTAGTTCAATACCGGTGTATGAAAGATTTCTGTAATTTAAACAGTTGATATTTGCAGTGGGCCAAAGAGGCATCTTACTTATCCTACCTCATACTTTCCCTTTCTAAAATTATTAACATGTTAATTATTCTGAGGAATTAATTGTTAAAGACAAGTCATTCATAAAAGCAGTTGTGGTACTTAATGTTCCATAAATGAGTTGGACTTAAACATTACAACCTTCCTAAATACAAGATAGATATCATTAGTATAAGTTTAACATGACCAGATATGTAATTGCCAAAGTAAGTTGGTATGACAATCATGTGAATGTCTATATCAGTATTTAAACAGCCAGTTTAAATGATGGTTCCTTAATGGCCATATTTTATATAACTGGGAATATATCTCCTATGTGCTGCATTAAATTTTATGAGTATGTAGTAGGATGTTAAAGATTTCTGTACAGCTTCTCGAAAAATCGTTTTACTAGATGTATAACCCTGTCTATAGACCTTTCATAGTGATATCTTAATCAGATGTCAAACATTATATGGCATTTAACTATGTCCTTCATTTGAAATTTTGTTACAATGTGGTGAGGTGCCATAGTAGCCTTATGCAACATGTTGTGCAGAGTTACATCCCTTCGCTGTGCCAGGATCCACCAATTTGACTGATAATGATACTTATCTTACCATAGCTTTGGTGAATGTTAGAACCAGTTGCATTAAAAGATTTCCTACCTCATCATAGCTGTCACAGTATAAATACACAAACACTGCTGATGAAGGCTCTTGTTAACAGTGTTTGCCTCTATGTCATATCAGCTGACCGAGCCAAGCAGATCAAAACAACTGCATCGGTCAATGAAGACCCGAACAGAGAAGCTGATCCGGGAACTGCAGGAGGAGAATGAGAAGCTAAAGGCTGCTCTGGCTGGCAATCCAAATGCCTTTGCCAAAGTTGGCGATGATGACGATGATGATGATGGTCTGACAGAAGAAGGTAGGCATGTTTTCTAAAATCTTGAAGAAAGTTGTCAGGCCATGAAAATTTGACAAAGTGGAAAGAATGGCATTAATTGAACATAGAACTAGCCATACGCTAGTTTTGTCTAGAGAGACAGTTTGAGCACTTGGCCAGATCTACTAAAAGATGTTAAAAAATGGTTCTTGTTTTTGCACTGCCTGGCCCTCTGCATTAAAGGGGATGGAAGAAATACTTGCTAGCAACCACTGTAAAGCGAGGGGTACAATGAGATGCACACACATCTGTTAATGTGTATTCACAATGGGAATTTTACCAAATTTATGTGCTTCTAGCCTGTGATACAAAACAAAATTCTCTCTGAGATATAAAGTATTATTCTATTCTTTTGTTTGTTTATTTCTTCCTTGTTTAACGCCACACTCAGAAATATTTGAGCTTTATGGCGGCAGTCTGTAAATAAACGAGTCTGCACCAGACAATCCAGTGATCATCAGCATGAGCATTGATCTGGGCAATTGGGATGTGATGACATGTGTCAACCAAGTCAGCGAGCCTGACCACAAAATCTCGTTCTCAATTCTTTTCTATGCTTATTGCTTTATATGTGAAATAATCATAAAGGCACTAAACTATATCTCATGTTGCCTCTAGCAGATCATTTAGAGATGGTCTGCACACAGGTTTCTACATTTATAACTTCAGAAACACAAAAACAAATCAACTGAAGTGAATCATATAAATATATACATCAAAGGGTACATATTAGTGCTGGGAATTGGTCAAAATCTCATAATTGATGATTGGTTCATAACAACCGATCAATCATCAAAAATAATTGGTTGGCGTCATTTATTAAATTTTCCTGATTATTTTTGTTAATGGACAAAAAAAATAAAGAAAAAAACCCTGTAGTTCTTTGGTGTTTTTGCAAATTGCACAAAAGGCATTGGCAAATTTCACATCTTTAAAGGATGACTAGTAGGTTAGGAACATTAATTTCTTGGAGTCTTGAAGATAAATTCAATAATGACTTGGAACGAGCTTGTAGTGGTCATGAAATGTAACAGACAAAACCAACCTTGTGAAAAATATTGTTAATGCAAACAAGTGTTCCAGAATTGTTTGTGTTCGATTATGAGAAAACCTGATCGATTGCTTGGTCGTTTAGTCACTGTGACAAATCTTCGATTATTTCAATTAATCGGACCACCACTAATACATATGTATTCATTATTGCTGATAAATCTGTTTATAACAATGTTGAACAGTGACATTGTTCCATGCAATGAAGCAGCACAAGTCCTGCCATGCTGTATATATATTTAACAATTGGTCTCTAGAATACCATCCAAAGATTATAAGGAAGTATTTATATAGAAGTGTAAGGAAGATTGCAAGATGACATTTTGAGAGATTATGCAATGTTTCTTTACTTTTTGTTCAGAGAGAAAGAAGGAGTATGAGAGTATAATGGAAGAGAACGCTCGTCAAGTGGAGGAGATGAAGAAGACTTTTGAGGAAAAACTAGCTTTGGCCAGAGAGCAAAGTGGGGTAGGTGTACAGAATATAGTACTGGCCAGAAAGATATCCCTGGATTAGGTTAGAGAAGGTAGTTCTTGCTACAGTGCAGTCTCAGGAAGGTGTGCAGAATCTAGTGCATGATAGAGAGGACTGTGGCATTGGTGTACACTTGTACGAATGAGTGAGTGACAGTGAGTAGTTGAAGCGCTCTTGGGAATTAGTATAGAGCCAAGTCTGTTCATAGTTACAAGAACTGGGTTTAACGTCGTGCTTGAGAATATTTCGCTCACGACGTGCATGCGTGTGTATGTGTATGTGCGGCTGCTTGTACTAGCCCAGATTGAAGCTGGTTTTATGGTGCTAGCCCACTGAGAAACCATGCCGCAGTGAAGCATGAATACCCCACTAAGACACATTATACTGACTCTGAGCCGACCAGTCCTAGTTTTTGTTGTTGTACCCAGTAATGCCGAACGCCAGGCAGGGACCAACAAGTACCATATTTTAACGTCTTTTGGCATGATGCAGTCGGGGATCGAACCCGAGACCTTCCGCTCTCCGGGCGGACGCTCAAACCACTGCACAACGGAGGCAGTCGGAAATTGGTACAGAGACTTGGTACAAGGACGTGTTGAACATTCTGCTGGGTATATACTGAAACTGGGTAGTGATTAGTGCAAGTCTGGGAAACAGGAACTTGGTACAGAGACTTGGTACAAGGAAGTGTTGAACATTCTGCTGGGTATATACTGAAACTGGGTAGTGATTAGTGCAATCTGGGAAACAGGAACTTGGTACAGAGACTTGGTACAAGGCCGTGTTGAACATTCTGCTGGGTATATACTGAAACTGGGTAGTGATTAGTGCAAGTCTGGGAAACACAGGAACTTTAAGTACAGAGACATGTTATACATTACGTATCTGTCTGACTGTTCATTCAATGATATAACTCCCCATTGTTTCAGACGGGCCAGGGTAATATTGCTGAAATTATGGAGAAGAAGAAGACAATTCCCCACCTCTCCAACCTGAACCCCGACCCCCAGCTAACTGGACACATAGTGTCATTCCTTGACAGTGCCAGGAAAACGGTCGGGAAGAAAGACTGCGACTTGGTCGTCATGGGCCCAAGGTGAGGATTGTACACAGCAAATATGATTCTAAATATGCTGATCCAGTGAATACTTTTAAAGCTGTAGTCAGCAATATCATAGCTATATGGAGGAGACCTTTAAATAGTCACTTGGGGCAAGCTTAGTCAGTACTCAAACATACACTGTTGGTCGGTTGGTTTGTTATCCCCCCGGCATGTAATCCCCCATTACATGCAGGGGGATATAGTCGACGCCTCGTCCGTCTGTCCATCCGTCCGTCTGTCCGTACGTAATCATTTTGTTTCCAGAGTATAACTCAAAAACCGTTAAATATTTTTCAACAAAAAGTGGTAGATATATCAAACAGAACCTAAGGTGGTGCCTATTGCTATTTACAGATTTTTGTCATTTTTATTTTTCTCGGTTTCCATGGAAACGTTTTGGACTTTGTCTTAAAGGGGGGATGGGCTTCGTTTCCGGAGCATAACTCAAAAACTTCTAAATATCTTTCAGCAAAATTTGGCAGATATATGAGACACATCTTGAAGTGGTGCCTTTTGCTATTTACAGATTTTTGTCATTTATATATTTTTTTATTTCCATGGAAACGATTCAGACTTAGTCTCAAAAGGGAGGGGTAGGTTTCGTTTCCGGAGCACAACTCGAAAACTTCTTAATATCTTTCAGCAAAACTTGGCAGATATGTGAGGCAGATCCCAAAGTGGTGCCTTTTGCTATTTGCAGATTTTTGTGATTTATTATTTTCTCGGTTTCCATGGAAACGATTAGGACTTAGTCCTAAAAGGGAGGGGTGGGCTTCATTTCCGGTGCACAACTCGAAAAGCGTTCGGTATCTTTCTTTCAACAGAACTTGGCAGATATATTAGGCAAATTTTGAAATGGTGCCTTTTGCTATTCACAGATTTTTGGCATTTATATTTCTCATGATTTCCATGGAAACGATTTGGACTTAGTTTAAAAAAAGTCAAGCTGGACTTTTAGTACCGGTTACTATCAGATGATTTGTTCTTTCAAATATGTGGGGGTCGGGGGAATATGTCATCTTCTGATGACTCTTGTTTAACCTTACTCGCAGCAATATTACAGCTATACAGCGACAGGCTGTAAATAATCGAGTCTGGACCAGACAATCCAGTGATCAACAATATGAACATCGATCTACACAGTTGGGATTTGATGACATGTGTCAACCAAGTCAGCGAGCCTGACCATCAAATCCCATGGGTTGATGAAGACAATTCTAATCCAGATCTTCACAGGTCTCAAAAACATCCACACAATCAGGATCGTTACTTTTCTATTCCTACTAGGCAACTTTTACAAATAGATGGGATATGAGGGACATAATCCATCCCCGAATCCTTTTTGGGATTTTAAATAGTGAAGGAACATGAGTGTTGCAATGCCCTCAGGAATCACAGTGTGTTTTTCAGAGTTGTGTCTCTTTGCTCCCCAGGATGCACTGTCACTGTTTTAAATAAAGTATTCAACAACTGATATTCATTGTCTCTCAGGACCTTTGCTCATTTTGTATTCCCTCCCACACTATGTAGACAAACTGATGAAACTAACTGCTTAATGCTGCTTTGTGTGATATTAATCACCAACACATCCCTCAAACTCTATTTTCAGATAAAATAGTTTGTAACATAGCTCTGTCATCGTATCACATGGAGACAATCATTGGATTGTCTGGTCCAGACTCAATTTGTTTACAAACAGCATTGTACAGCTGTAACACTGCTGAAAAATAACACTGCTGAAAGAAATATGCTGTATATATACTCATGATATAGTCACAAATGTACAATCGACTCTTTCAGCAGAGATTTCTTATGGATTTTGAAAGAGTTTTGTCGAATCTTTTGGGTATTATTCAGGCTAATTGTCTTGAGACGCTACATTTCTTGTTTCTGTCATAACTGGTCTGACATGATTACTATTCTGACACAGAAAAACAGTGTATGTAACTCATCGTAAGGCGATGGTGGGATCTTTGACAGCGCTTAATATTGACATCTCATTGACTCGACTGTTGTGTACAAGTAATATCACTCGCAATGATGTTCAGAATGTCATTCTTGCTTACATTAAAGCGTGTGGCAGCTTAACTACTTTATAAAAGTGTATAAACTTAGCAAACCTTTATGATGGGCAAGGTGTAAATGGGCCCAGTTGCCCGAACACCTATCAAACTTTCAATTATCTATCTATCTAAGTGGGCTAGACGAATGACTTTGTGTGCTGGTGATAGGTGCTGTCTGTTCTGTCATAAAAGTACAATGTTTCAATTCTACCAGAATGATAATGCTACTACACTGACAAAGAGATACAGTATCACATTTCTTGCAGACAACAACACTGTTTCTGTTTTAAGATATGGCTCTATGTTGCTATTCTGACAGTGACAATATTACATTTACCACATAGCTGGCCATGTTGATATCTTGTCTGAAAGCAACAGTGTTGCTGTTATAACATGTGTAAAACTGTGATGCAGAATTGGTGACCTGCATGCAGTCATCACTGAGGAAGGAGGATCATTCCATATAGAGCCAGCCAGTATAGACTTCAAGACTGTCAGGAATGGTAACATCATTGGCGGCAAGGTGGCTCTCAAACACAATGACAGGTATGAGATTATGGCTGTTATTCTCTAGCTCTGACAACGCTTGGGTTTCTGTACAGCCATCTTGCAATGAAATTGACAAGTGTCCAGGATTAATAGCATTATCAAAGAAGTCATTAAACCGCTTAAATACCACACATTATAGTCATGATTGAAATTCACAAAACGTTTATGAAACGAAAGTACTGATGACAGTATTACAAATAGCATTGTAAATGCATCAATGTAGCCATTTAAGATAATCATGATGAGTTCATTTAGACACTGAATGAATTTGTCCATTAACAATTCAGTTGATTCATTTGTTATTTGAAAGATGTTTCAAGAATAGGAAGACACTGCCAATTAGCCTGAGACAGTCCCCCTTTAAATACCAATCCATCCCAACTGTTCACACTGATGCTGCCTTGCCTGGTAGTGCTAACTATGCCCATATGTCCACAGACTGAGGTTTGGCAGCACCATGTACTTTGTGTACATCAACCCCAAGGAGAGAGATGCGTCCAAGGAGCAGTTCCCCGAGGTGACGTACGAGTCAGCCCAGGAGGAGGCAGCGTCTAAGTGGGGCTTCGACATGGACTCTTCCAACAAAACTAGAGGTGATCATGATACTTGATGTGACAAACAGTAAATAACTCTGTACATTTGTCCATCAACTTTAGGGATGTCAAATAAACCTTCCAAAAGGTTCCTTAACTTGAATCATAATATATACTCAACAAAAAAACTTAAGGACCACCCCAATATAATATGAGGTGAGGTGAAATTGGGTTTAACGTCGTGCTTGAGAATATTTCGCTCATATGACGACGTGCATGCGTGTGCATGTGTATGTGCAGCTGCTTGTACTAGCCCAGATTGAAGCTGGTTTTATAGTGCTAGCCCACTGAGATACCATGCCGCAGTGAAGCATGAATACCCCACTCAGACACATTATACTGACTCCGAGCCGACCAGTCCTTGTTGTACCCATTAATGCCGAGCGCCAGGCAGGGACCAACAAGTACCATATTTTAACGTCTTTTGGTATGACACGGCCGGGGATCGAACCCGCGACCTCTCTCGGGACGCTCTAACCACTACACCACGGAGGCGGTCGGATCATAATATGAACTATTAAATACTTTGATATTAAAAATTGGGGGGGTCTGTAACTTTTTTTGTTGAGTATATGATGAAAAGAATTAATCTTTGGAGAGTCAGGGTTTTTGGATGAAAGTTTCTAGATTAGCAGCATTTTGCTGCATATACCTCCAGAAATATCTCACCAATTCATGTCCCTGGTTAGGCTTCATGCTAGAAGTGAGATGTAGATGTGAATGTTTGTCTCCATCTGCCTCCAGATGAAGCCTTGTTGAAGGAAGACATGATAGAGCTGATGCCAAGTGTGGAGGAATGTAACTCCATCAGTGAAGAGCTCGACAAAAAGATGAAGTTTGAACTCATGATTGTCTCCCCTGAAGCAAGAGGTCAACTCAAAGGTCGTACAGAGGTGGGTATATACATATTGACATATATAAAGAAGCAAGATATGTACTGATAGGATGTTGACTTGATTATTTTCAAAATAATGATTTTGATTCCCAACATTACAATAATGATTTTGAAGCTGTGGTGTCCCTGCGAAGGTCGTATTTAGAATTGGTCTTCAGTAACCCATGCTTGTCGTAAGAGGTGACTTAACGTGTTTGGGTGGTCAGGCTCACTGACTTACTGACACGTCATTGTATACTAATTGCGTAGATGGATGCTCATGCTGTTGATCACTCAGTTATCTGGTCGAGACTCGATTATTTACAAACCTTCGCCATATAGCTGGAATAGTGCTGAGTGTGGCATTAGACAACAACCAAACAAGCTGTGGAGTAACTTGATTCTGATTCTGTGGGTAGGTGATGATCAAAGTGGTGAATCTGGAGACGAAGCATGAGTGGATCTGGCCACGGGAGAAGTTCCTCAACAGGAAGTTCCTCATGCAGGAGATGTATGAGAACTTCCAGGATGGAGAAGAGAACTGGGATGTTCCTCAGGTGAGTTGAGGTTCTAGTCACATGGCACGTTCTTTTCCCCAGTGAGTGTGGAAGACCTTAAAAGGAAGGTTTAATTTCCAGTAGAATGTGTGAAGGTTAGATGCCAAAATGAGCGTGGAAGGCCTTTCGTTAGTGGCATGTTTAATTCCCCAAACCAATTTGAAAGGCCTTCGATTAAATGTTAAATCTTCCAATACATCGTGGAAAGTCTTACATTGAACTTTCCCCAAATAGTTTGGAAGGTCTTAGACTAAGTTAGAGGTAATATATTGAAATTTGCAAAAGAGTGTAGAAGGCCTTTATGGAGTGGTAAATTCCCCTAAGGGTGATGGATGATTTATTTTCTCCAAAGGAGCTTGGTGACCTTACATGCATTGATAAACTGCCACAAAGAGCATGGCATGACTTTGATGTGTTTCTATATCAACCCAGGGTGCACAGAGGACCACAGATGAATAGTTAAAGATGTTAAATGATGCTAAGGAAGTCTTTCATAGAGTGTTATTCTCTCCAGAGGGACCCGTGAAATTTTGGTTTAGAATTGGTCTTCAGCAACCCATGCTTGTTGTAAGAGGCTACTAACAGGATTGGGTGGTCAGGCTCACTGACTTGGTTGACACATGTCATGGCATCCCAATTTTGTAGATCAATGCTCATGCTGTTGATCACTGGATTGTCTGGTCTATGCTTGATTACAGCCACCATATAGCTGGAATGTTGCTGAGAGTGGTGTTAAACATCAACCAACCAATGATCCGTCCAGAGGAGCATGGGAGGACTCAGGGATGAGGCCTCAGGGATGAGGGCTCTATTGTTGGTGTTGAGGGGAGAGGGGCCTCAGTGGACAGTGGGGGATATACTGAGGTAGTGGTGGTGGGTTCTATTGTTGGTGGCCACTGAGGGTTGTGGGTGGTGTTGTCATACTGAGGGCTGCTTTGTAGGAAGGTTGTATGTAGGGTGGATACTTAGGACTGATTTTGAGGGTACTGTTTTGGTGCTAATGGTGTTGAGGGTCGGGTCTTTCATGGTATTGCGGATATTTTACTTGTTGGTACTGAGGGTGATTGTGTGACACATGGGGTGGTGGTGTGATGCTGGTCGTGTCTGTGTGACACTGTGGGTGGTTGTGTGACAAATGGGGTGGTGGTGTGATGCTGGTCGTGGCTGTGTGACACTGAGGGTGGTTGTGTGACACATGGGGTGGTGGTGTGATGCTGGTCGTGGCTGTGACACAGTGGGTGGTTGTGTGACACATGGTGTGGTGGTGTGATGCTGGTCGTGGCTGTGTGACACAGTGGGTGGTTGTGTGACACATGGTGTGGTGGTGTGATGCTGGTCGTGGCTGTGACACAGTGGGTGGTTGTGTGACACATGGTGTGGTGGTGTGATGCTGGTTGTGGTTGTGTGACACTGAGGGTGGTTGTGTGACACATGGGGTGGTGGTGTGATGCTGGTCGTGGCTGTGTGACACATGGGGTTGTGGTGTGATGCTGGTTGTGGCTGTGTGACACTGTGGGTGGTTGTGTGGCACGGACGGTGGTTGTGTGACACATGGGGATGTGGTGTGACGCTGGTCGTGGCTGTGTGACACATGGGGTGGTGGTTTGATGCGGGTCGTGGGACCCTGTGTGACACTGAGGGTGGTTGTGTGACACTGGTCGTGGCTGTGTGACACTGAGGGTGGTTGTGTGACACTGGTCGTGGCTGTGTGACACTGAGGGTGGTTGTGTGACACTGGTCGTGGCTGTGTGACACTGAGGGTGGTTGTGTGACACTGGTCGTGGCTGTGTGACACAGAGGGTGGCGTTGCAGGTGTTTACTGAAGTGTTGTGATGCTGATATGAACATTGTTGGTCCTGAATGATTGAGGGGTGTCACATGACTCCAGTAAACAGGATGGGATGTTGGTACATTCAAGTGGCAGGTCAGTCAGTATGCTCTGTCCAATTCAAGTACTCATTCTGTGAGAAAATTATTCTACGCTGGGCATGTTTTTATGTAATGATTATGTAGTTTATTTTGTTTTTCTTACAGGATCAAAAGGTATTTCTTAAAGCAGAGAGTATAACAGAAGTCCTTAATTAGCATTTCATCATTTACTACTTGGTAGAAATCTAGCTATTCTTTCATCTAATTCATTAATCCATTCTCATCAAGTTTCTTTTGACCATGTCTTCTTGTGTTTTGTCATTTTGTAAGTATCATTTCTACACACAAACATGTTCAACAATTTAAAATATGTCTCTGATGTATTTATGGACAAGAGCAGTCTTGTTGCGTTTATTATATGTTATCAATATTTGTTTTAAAATGTGAGCTTTTTATGGGGAAAAAGATGGTTAATTACAACAGTATAACTTGCAATGTATGTGTTTTTTGCATGCAATTTATGGTGTATTTTTATAAATATTTATTCTCTTCCTTGCTTAATGTCATGTGGCATCTCATGTTTCAGTATTGTTCTTTATCCTTTTGGTCGTGAAAAAATATTTGAGAGAAGAAAATAATTAACATGTATATCAGGAAAAATCCCTATTAATGTTTTCAACTGTATTGTTAGATGGTTGTAAACGTGCTTCCAGTCATGTGTCATCTTGTATATACTGTTTACTGTTTCATGCTAATGTTGTTTAATAATTATTGAGGGGTGGTGGGGTAGTGCAGTGGTTAAAGCGTTCGCTCGTCACGCCGAAGACCCGGGTTCGATTCCCTACATGGGTACAATGTGTGAAGCCCATTTCTGGTGTCCCCCTCCGTGATATAGCTGGAATATTGCTAAAAGTGGCTTAAACTAAACTCACTCACTCACTAATAATTATTGGAGGGACAATAAGTTTTGTTTATTAATTATTAGAGGGATAATATTTTTTTCTTATTATACATTGGTGGTATAATATTATTTGTTTATTAATCATTGGAGGGATACTGTGTTTTGTTTATAAATTATTGGTGGGAAATTATGTTTTGTTTATTAAGTATTGGAGTAATAATATGCTTTGCTTATAAATTATTGGAAGGAAAATATGTTTTGTGTATTAATCATTTGTGGTATAATATGTTTTGTGAATAAAGTCCCCAATCAACTCCCAATGTCATCTCCTGATCGTTAATCATCTTCACAATCCCAAAAACAATGTCATGGTGAAATCAACTCCCCAATCACCTTTACAATCCTAAATCAACTCCCCAATCTCCAGTTGATTTACAGTCACTCAACCCTACTTCCATATGTTATTACAGTATAGACAAATGTCATTCAGTTAGGTCTAACTATCACACACTAAAACATTGCTTGTATAGATGTAGAGTATGGTACACTAAATTAATTAACATGCGTTAACCACAATGTGGATTTCTCAGATGCCTTAAATACACACAGAAGCTTTTAGTTTTTAATACACTTAAAGCTATTCTTCTTATTTTTCGGACCGCCTCCGTGGTGTAGTGGTTAGAGCGTCCGCCCAGAGAGCGGAAGGTCGCAGGTTCGATCCCCGACCGCGTCATACCTAAAAGACGTTAAAATATGGTACTTGTTGGTCCCTGCCTGGCGCTCGGCATTAATGGGTACAACAAGGTCTGGTTGACGTTAAACCAGATTTCAACTCACCTCTCCTTCTTATTTTTCGTTCACTGCAAACTTGAAATTTAAATTATAACAGTGATTGCTTTTTTAATAAATATTGATCTTTGTATTTGAATATTATCATTTTAAAACTTTTTTGATAGACGAACAACCTACAAAATTTCAAATATTAACATTTTCATTTCATTTCCTTTTAAGATTTATCACTGTAAAAATAATTTGATTTGACTTTTTTCATATTTTTATCAGAATCTGTTTCATTTTGGTATTATTGTTTCCTAGGAAAGGGATCCATTCGAGGATGACTATGAGGCCGAGTTCCATATTGGCAGCGTCAAGCTTTGGCTGCAATCACTGGGATACTTGGTGAGTTTCTCTGTGAGTTAGGTGAGTTAATTTAACGTCACATCGGCAATATTTCACCCATATCGTGGCGTGAGTTTCCCTCCTGCATCACTACTGTCATCATTGAGCACATACATAACTGTATACAACGTAACAATGTCAAATGACACTTGGCACTGGTCTTAATATAAGGCCAGACCAATTTTATTTCTTGTATTACGGATTTTTGTCCTCACAAAACCTAAAGGCAGGAGGGAAAAAAAAAAAAATAAAATCTCCAGTCAAAGTAGTATTCCTCCTAAATACTCAAAGTATTTTACTTTTGGGAATCTATGAAGTGTATGTGTCTAAAAACAAATTTCTTGTATGTTTACATGTTTGGCCAATGAAAACATCAGGATTTTATTTTTTGAGTGGGGAATTTTATTTATTTAATTTTTTTATTCTTGAAAAAATATGACAGGCAGATCTGTAAAACAAGAAATAAAATTGGTCTGGCCTAATAGTTTTTGACAACTTGTTATTTAAAATGTGTCAGGAAGTATTCAGCAGTATGAAAATATGAAACAAATTGGTCATACAGTTCCTGTTGTTGGGATGAAGGACCATGTGTTCAATGGTTGTAAGAAGAACTGACAAGGTGCAGGTGATAACACCGTGTCACCTGAGTGGATTGAAATCATTTCTGCATTTTGAAACAATGAATTCTTGGTTTCAGATCGATATAGAGGAACAGCTGGAGGTCACCGACTTCAAGGGACAGGAAGTCGGACTACTAAATGTAAGTTTGTATCTGCATTCAGACCGTGAAACACAAATTTTAAAAATCACATGCAAGCAATAGCTAATAGTTTTTAGCAAAAGTCTTGATTTCTAGAGAAAAGGAAATAATGTTTTTTCATTTCAGAGACTAAATGCTTGTCTAATGCTAAGTGTCCAATGTAGAAGTAATTCTTCCTGTTTCTCACTGCCCACAGTGTTTTCATCAATTGGCATCATTTGTTGTTTGACTACAAGAGTTGTCTCCCTTGTTGATTTCAAACGTAGTGTCTTGTAACCATTCATGAAAAGAAGTTCATTTTTGGAATAAGCTTTATCAGAATGTAAAGATTTATTAAATATCAAATATGTTTTGGTTTGTCGTCATGCCCTCCCCCCTTTCATTATCCCTGATTACAACTGGTCCTCCAGCACCCGTGGCTCGTCATAAGGGGTGACTTTAAGGATCAGATGGTTTGGTGACATATGGTATCATGTCATCATGCCCCAGTGGCATGTCTTCTTGCTCTTATCATTAACCACTGGTTTGTGTGCTTCAGACTCAGATATTTACAGACTGCACTCACTCAGTTGGAGTATTGCTGAATGCTGTATTAGATAGAACAAATCATGCCAAGGTGTCTTGTGAAAAAATGGTCATACTGTCAAACGCAGGACCATATGTCTAACATGTTGCTGCCATCCATCAGAAGATTACCTTTACAGCACATATCTTATATCATTGGGGCGGTGGGGTAGTCTAGTGGTTAAAGCGTTGACTTGTCACGCCGAAGACCCGGGTTCCAATCCCCACATGGGTACAATGAGTGAAGCCCATTTCTGGTGTCCCCCGCCGTGATATTGCTGGAATATTGCTAAAAGCGGCGTAAAACCAATCTCAGTCAGTCAGTCTTATATCATTGCATCTTGGTAATGATAGACTGCAACATTTGCCAACACCATCAGTCAATAAGGGATATATTATGTGAGTTTCACTGAGCGCAGTAGTGCAGTGGTAAGGCATCCGCCTATCACGCTGAAGGCCGGGTTCGATCCCCTGTGGAGGCACCTAGGTTTGGGTCCCGAGGTGGGCACATATCTGTAGTATCCTTGGACAAGATACTTAGATCCACATTGTCTCAGTTCACCCTGCTGTAAAATGGGTACCCGTGAGGATGTGCTGGCAATGTGAGTGTTTAGTTCATTTCGCTAACAGGCAGCATGGCTGTATGATCCCCAGGGAGTTGAAGAAGTATCGGAAAGTACGACAGTGTCCTATGACTGGGGATAATAATGTACGTAGCGCCGTGAGCAATGTGCCAGTATATGAGCGCCATATAAGCGTACTATTACTATTACTATTACACACTCACTAACTCACTGATTCCCTCACTCACGCTGTCCATCAACAGGTGGTTGTGTCTCCGTGTGACAAGAAGGGCAAACCCTTGAAGGAGGACACGTATGTGGACAACCCCTTGGAACTAAAGGGCAAAGATCTCTCCTTCAATCTTCAGATCAACAGTGCCAGAGGTCTCCCAAACAAGTTCACTGTGAGTAGCATCAGTAGATGGGCAATAAGTAATAAATAATGACAGTACCCCCTTGAAGGTCATCCCTACTGTGTATCCTTTTGATCTGTTGATTGTTAAAGGGACAATTCTCTGGGACTGGTTGGTACTGACTAACATGATTAGGTGGTCAGGCTCGCTGACTTGGTTGAAACATGTCATTATATCCCAATTGCGCAGATCGATGCTCATGCTGTTGATCACTGGATTGTCTGGTCCAGACATAATTATTTACAGACCAAGGCAAATAGCTGAAATATCACTGAATGCGGCCTGGGTACCTGGACGATGTCCCACAATTCTTGACTTACAAATAGTAGCCCAGGCTCACGTCATGCACAGTTGCATCTCCCGGCAAATTGTCTCATGGCAGCTGATGAGTCAGGTTGCAGTGTAAGACTGCTGGGTTGAAGCCATAGACCAGTGCCCTCTAAATGAGTGATGCTGTGTTGCAGGATGTGTATGCTAAGTACACGGTGTACATGGATGAGGAGTACACCAACACCAGCAAGGTATGCGGCACCGCCAACCCAGACTGGAAACACAAGAAACAGTTCAACTTCACAGCCGTTGATGAAGCTGTAAGTTATCTCATTTATTTCATTTTGTAGACCACTTGAACTTAAAATGTTATGTGAGCTTATTTCTGTTGACATTGTTTTCCTATATTGACAAACTTTATGGATAACAACTTCTATTAATTTGGTGGGTGCAATGTTTTGACACAGATTCTTGTACCGTTGTCAAGCAGATGGCATTTTCCTGTTCATCGATCCATACATTATACAATTCTATATTGCTAACACCTCCTCTAAACCATGTGGCCTATCGAGTTGAAACTTTCTTGGATAATTCCAGTTATGTCTCTTAACCTGCCCACATTCTCCACCCAAGACATGTAACCATGACACCCAATTAAACATTGCCATTTCTTTATGAAATAATAAGCAGGAAATATTTGAACATGCTTTTATTTTTCTTCCATGCTTTGGCATTTGAACTTATACCACAATTTATCTTGTTTTATAACATTTTCAGATTGTTTCCATGAAACGTCTGGGTGTATATCATCCCTGCAATAGTACAAACAGATCTGATTTTAATATGGCTAGCATGGCAGCCATATTGGAAATATAGACATTCAAATTTGATGTGTTGTATATAAAAGCACAGTGACACATTTTGTTCATATCCCAGTAAATGTATAAAACTCTTTCCAGTTCATCAACTACCTGAACACCAGCGCCATCATGGTGCAGATCTGGGGGAAACAGAAGCCCCCCAAGACCAAGAAGTCTGTGAATACAGCCCAGGCTATGATGGCCCAGAGTCTGCGGAAGGGGCAGGTGGCAGCAGCCAATACCAACACCAAGGTAAGGGTGTCTGCTGGCTAGTGTTGGGAATTGGTTTAAATCTGGTTTAAATTGATGATTGGTTCATTACAACCGATCAATCATCGAAAATAATTGGTTAGCGTCATTTATTAAATTTTTCTGGTTATGTTTATTAATGCACCAAAAATAAAGAAAAAACATGTAGTTATTTCATTTTTTTGCAATTTGCACAAAATGCATTTGCAAATTTCACATCTTTAAAGGATGACTTGTATGTTAGGAACATGAACTTCATGGAGTCTTTAAAATAAATTCAATCATGAATTGGAAGAGCTTGTAGTGCTAATGAAATGTAACAGACAAAACCAACCTTGTGAAAAATATCGTTATTGCAAACAAGTGTTTCAAAATTGTTTGTGTTCGATTATGAGAAAACCTGATCGATTGATTGGTCGTTTTGTCATTGCGACCAATCTTCGATTATTTCAATTAATCGGACCACCACTACTGCTGGCTCTATCTAACATGGAATCCTACGGATGAGAGTTACTGAATATGTAGTAAAGCCGTAATAAGAAATAATGTATATCAGATGAGTGTGTCTTATGAAATCTCTTTCTGCTTAAATTGTGTGTGAGTGAGCATGTGAGTGATTGATGGGTAGGTGGACAAGTAAGAATTTCATTGCTGTATCAAAAGTCCAGTGATATATTTTAATGGGGATACCAGAAATGGGTTTCACACATTGTACCCATGGAATCGAATCAGGATGTGCGACATTATGATTAGTCGACCATTGAGCTTACCTACTGCTTTGATTTAATTGAACAGTGATAAATGCTCTCATGACTGTTTTACTGGAAGAATAAAGATTTGCAATAATGTGCATGTTGTCTGTTTCCAGAGGTTTGATCCTGAAAAGGTCAAGTACATGATGGAGGTCGCCATGTTGAAGAAGAGACAAGAAATGATGGAACTTAAAATGGTAAATTGTTTTGTCAGCGATAGTTGCTGCTGGCACAACTTTGTGTGATACTCTTTTCCTGCACATTCACTGTTGGATTTTAGTGTTGAACTTGATGTAAAAATACTGTTTGTTACTGTAACCAAAAGTGGTAATTGGGGACATGAAACTGTTTGTTGGGGATAGTGAGGGTGTGTTATGGATGGGTGAGGTGAGGTGAAATTGGGTTTAACATCGTGCTTGAGTATATTTTGCTCATATGACGACGTGCATGTGTGTGTGTGTATGTGCCAGACTTAAGCTGGTTTTATTGTGCTAGCTCACTGAGGTACCATGCCGCAGTGAAGCATGAATACCCCACTCAGACACATTATACTGACTCCTAGCCGACCAGTCCTTGTTGTACCCATTAATGTTGAGCGCCAGGCAGGGACCAACAAGTACCACATTTTAACGTCTTTTGGTATGACGTGGTCGGGGATCAAACCCACGACCTTCCGCTCTCCGGGCGGACAGTCACGATAATGTAATTATCATCTGTTTACTGTTTGTATTGTTGCATCCCTTATCAGTTTATCATGGAGAGTTGAGGACAGAGAGAAGAACGTTAGCATGTGACCTTGACCTACCTGCCATCATGCTGCCATGTGGTTGAGACATGACCTCCTTCCAGATGTTTGTCTCTGTGATGAGAGCCATTTTAAACATCCGCAAATATTCACTCGCTTGTCTCCTCTGCCCAGGGTCCAATTCTAAAAAAACCCACATTTAATGAAGAAAGAACGAATACACACTTTTAAGGTTCACATTTCAAGAACCCTTGATGTCAGAAATGTCTGTTATCTTAACAAGGTTAAGACATCACACTTTATGCATCGTTCTAAATAACTGCCTGCCCAACCACCCGGAATGGGTTATTTTCATCACAGACTACCAGATTCTCAAATTCACCTGCCCGGCGGTCGGGGTAATATTTAGACATGTATCTGAAGATATTCACCATATTTCAGGATAATAAATCATTATAAATTCACTTGTAAAAATATATGATGAATACCTGATGCTCAATATTCAAACTTGTATAAAATGTGATGCTTGAGTTTTGGTAATGATAGTTTAGAACATTATAACAAAAGAAATCTGGGACTGATAATATTAGTTATCTTACTTCCTAAAATTTCATGAACAGTAAGTCCTTCAGTCACTGCTCATACAGTCATCAGAGTCACTCTTCCAAGTCAGTTCCTCATCATTCTGTTTTCCAGCTGAAGTCTCAAAAATTGACTTGCACCTGGTGCAAGTTAGACTAATAACTAGGTTGCACTTTGTAATATTGGGTTGCACCAGTGCAAGTAACAAAGCACCAAATCGAGCCCTGCCCATTCTTGCCTAAGGATCTGACTCATGAGAAGTTGGTGGATAAAATGAGCATAAATACAGGTTGTCTTGGAACATTTACTTGGAAAATGAACAACTGTTGTTACAGAAATCTATGAAGCGGATGTTGGAGCTGGCGGAGGAACACAAGAAGAAGAAGCTGTCTACCAAACTGATCAAGGACATCTACCATGCTCAGTCGTCTGACGCTGCTGAGAAGTGTCTGAAGCTGGTGCCCCAGGAGAAAGGTAAATAGGGGTACGTGTACCGACATATACAGGATGTAAACAAGTCTTCACATACTGACTCCTGAAGCGAGGTATTCTCCCTTGAATTACAGTAGTGGAGTTATATTTCAGTATGAAACAGGTGTCTAGGGATTTTGTTGGTGATGGATTCCTGGTGTTTTGTAAACATCTTTTGATGATGGAACTGTCATGATAATAGGTGTTAATTTGTTGACAGAACTAAATGATTTCTAATAATAACAGTGTTGATCTAATGACACTTTAGAATAGGTAGACGTGTCGAAATTTAAGAAATCAAAACAAATCAAGTTGATATTGTTTTAGAACTACCCAAGAGTCTACACATTAATGGTTGTCTTTAAAATAATTACCAGAAAGAATCTGGAATCTATTTTACCCACACTTATATTTTTAACATTCAAAGACGATGAAGTCCTGGACATTGAAACTGTAGAAGTCACGGACGGCCCAAGGTCACAAGGGTTTTGTTGTTGGAAATCGGGTGTGTTTTGGCTCTCGTAAGTCAAGTTAGATTTCCCTGTGGTCCAGGAACACCTTGAGTGCAGTGGGTGCAGCACATATGGTGTAGGGAGCATATTCTAACATTTGCTATATAACCAGTTCATTTGGGTATAATCACATAATGTTTATGCATACTGACTGCATGATGCATATATAGCAGTGCTTCTGTAATCTGTTACTCCACCAATAACACCTTGTGTATGTGTAACACAGTGTATTCACATCTGTTAGTTACTAGGTTCTAGTGTAGAAGTGATGTTTTGGAATACATATGCCAAGTTGGTTCTTAAATTCTCATGATCTTAGTTCTTTCTAGAATGGATTTGTGATTGACTGACTGAGTTTGGTTTTACGCCCCTTTTAGCAATATTCCAGCAACATCACGGCGGGGGGACACCAGAAATGGGCTTCACACATTGTACCCATGTGGGGATTGGAACCCGGGTCTTCGGCGTGACGAGCCAACGCTTTAACCATTAGGCTACCCCACCGCCCCTGGATTTGTGATAAAATGCTATATAATTGTGACTTTTGATCTTGTTATACAGTTCTTGAATCTGATAACTCTAAACACTAAAATACAGGAAATCAGATTATGACAAGGAGTACTAGGGACGTCTTTTTTACATACATACAAATGTTTCAGGGCTACTTCCAGCCCTTCATTAAATGAATCACTAAGAAGTTATAATGTGGATATCCTAAATATTCCTTCTCATAATAATATTCAACTTCTGCATGTCTATAAAAAACTGTCACAAGAAAATTGTTTTGCACCTCCTGTTTGAAAAAGATCCAGTCTACAAAAAACAAACAAATCTTATGCACCTCCCCTTACCTTTCCTAGAATTTTATGGTCAGTTCCTAACCAGCCCAGAATTCAACAACAATACCTGTTCCTCATGGATGTAGTTAGTCTACTGGTGACCCAAGGACAAGTATTCTCAGTTAAAATACCAGCCTCCTTTATGGTAGCCATCAACTGGACAAGCACCTGTTCCAAGTACTGCTCTACCCTGGATAGAATTGGTCTTCAGCAAGCCATACTTATCATTGTATCCTAATTCATAAATGTATGCTCATGATATCAGTCACTGAATCGTCTGGTCAAGACTCGATTATTTAAACACTGCCATTGGGTACTGTGGGAATTTCTCAGTGCAGCATTCAACGACAAACAAAATCCAAGCACTGCTTATTCCCAAAATGAGGCTGACATCTTCACTGTGCATTGTTTAGGTTTTCCTTGTTTTTGATATATGGAAACTGTAATTTGTTTTTGTGTGATACATACATTCAGACAAGGTGTTGTAGTAGTTGTAACATAGTTGTGTTGAGCAGGGCGACAGATAAGGGGCGAACAGGCGTAATGTACGCCTCAAAATCAATTAAGTACGACATAATATAAGATTTCAAGCCGCATCGTACTATTACATAAATACCTTTGCACGCCTAACATTTAATTTCCGTCGCGTATCGTGCAAATGGAAATCTATTTCCAGATAAATACTTTTCAAGTTTCACGAGGAAACCCCTTTTACATACAGAAACCAGTAGGAAATCCCTTATGCCATGCAACGAGCGATATCGCCACTATTTTTCGATTGGCTAAAAACTACACTGTTCCTATTTATATCCAGTCAGGCCTGACAATTCGCGCATCACACGGTCGCTCAGTTATTTCTCACGCGTCTTCAAATACAAATACATGGTTGGAAATAGTGATCGATGAATCGTCCAGACAAACCACATCACCAACTCGCTCACACAAAAACATGTCAGTACTCCTTTAAAATTCTCAGTACACCTCCACTTGCAATATGATGTGTAAGTACACTTGCACCCCCAAAAGTTATCTGGAGCCCTGTTGAGAGCATAAATATAGTACACAGTGACATACCTAGATCACATGATACTTTAGGTCTTCCAGCCTTTGGCTATTGCTCAATAGCATCCTTTAACATGGGAAGCTTCATCTTTTCTACAAGTGTAGGAATACATGAGTGTTATACTGTCAATGACTTACGATTCAGTTTACTCTCTGTATAGAACACTGGATAATCAATCAGCCCTTATCATCGTACCAGTACTTAGTTTATCCACAGACCTCTAACTGTATGATTAGACAAAGGAGCACTGAGACTGGATCGGGTTGAGTTAATTCATGATACAATAACAACCGATATCAAGATCATTAGTCTTCAGTTAAGGCGTCAGTCAGTCACTCAGTCAACACCAGAAACAGGCTTGACACATGTCAACGATATGGAGTGAGTGAGTGGAAGGTTTAGTTTTACGCCCTTTAGCAATATTCCAGCAATATCACGGTAGGGGGACACCAGAAATGGGCTTCACACATTGTACCCATGTGGGGAATCGAACCTGGGTCTTGGCGATCGAGCCAACGCTTTAACCATTAGGCTACCCCACCGCCCTGGATTTGTGATAAAATGCTATATAATTGTGACTTTTGATCTTGTTATACAGTTCTTGAATCTGATAACTCTAAACACTAAAATACAGGAAATCAGATTATGACAAAAGGAGTACTAGGGGCGTCTTTTTTTTTTACATACATACAAATGTTTCAGGGCTACTTCCAGCCCTTCATTAAATGAATCACTAAGAAGTTATAATGTGGATATCCTAAATATTCCTTCTCATAATAATATTCAACTTCTGCATGTCTATAAAAACTGTCACAAGAAGAAATTGTTTTGGCACCTCCTGTTTTAGAAAAGATCCAGTCTACAAAAACAAACAAATCTTATGCACCTCCTTACCTTTCCTAGAATTTTATGGTCAGTTCCTAACCAGCCCAGAATTCAACAACAATACCTGTTCCTCATGGATGTAGTTAGTCTACTGGTGACCCAAGGACAAAGTATTCTCAGTTAAAATACCAGCCTCCTTTGCATGGTAGCCATCAACTGGACAAAGCACCTGTTCCAAGTACTGCTCTACCCTGGATAGAATTGGTCTTCAGCAAGCCATACTTATCATTGTATCCTAATTCATAAAATGTATGCTCATGATATCAGTCACTGAATCGTCTGGTCAAGACTTCGATTATTTAAACACTGCCATTGGGTTCTGTAAGGAATTTCTCAGTGCAGCATTCAACGACAAACAAAATCAAGCACTTTATTCCATAATGAGGCTGACATCTTCACTGTGAATTGTTTAGAGTTTCCTTGTTTTGATATATGGAAACTGTAATTTGTTTTTGTGTGATACATACATTCAGACAAGGTGTTGTAGTAGTTGTAACATTATAAGATTTCAAGCATAAATAGTATGCACTGTGACATACCTAGATGGAAATCTATGATAAATACTTTTAGGCCTTCCAGCCTTTGGCTATTGCGTCACTATTTTTAGCATCCTTTAACACACTGGGAAGGTATATCCAGTCATCTCTTCAGTTATTTCTCCACTGTGACAAATGCAAATACATGGTTGGAAATAGTGATGATGAATCGTCCAGACACAACCACCATCACCTTTGGCTCACACAAAACATGTCAATACATCCTTTAACATGTTCTCAGGTTCATCTCCACTTGCAATATGATGTGTAAGTACACTAGTTATCTGGAGCCCTGTTGACATAAATATACCTGACATACCTAGATCACATGATACTTTAGGCCTTCCAGCCTTTGGCTATTGCTCAATAGCATCCTTTAACATGGGAAACTTAATTTTTTCTACAAGTGTAGGAATACATGAGTGTTATACTGTCAATGACTTACGATTCAGTTTACTCTCTGTATAGAACACTGGATAATCAATCAGCCCTTATCATCGTACCAGTACTTAGTTTATCCACAGACCTCTAACTGTATGATTAGACAAAGGAGCACTGAGACGGGATCGGGTTGAGTTAATTCATGATACAATAACAACCGATATCAAGATCATTAGTCTTCAGTTAAGGCGTCAGTCAGTCACTCAGTCAACACCAGAAACAGGCTTCACACATGCAAGAGACCGCCTCCGTGGTGTAGTGGTTAGAGCGTCCGCCCGGAGAGCAGAAGGTCACGGGTTCGATCCCCGACTGCGTCATACCAAAAGACGTTAAAATATGGTACTTGTTGGTCCCTGCCTGGCGTTCGGCATTAATGGGTACAACAAGGACTGGTCGGCTCGGAGTCAGTATAATGTGTCTGAGTGGGGTATTCATGCTTCACTGCAGCGTGGTATCTCAGTGGGCTAGCACTATAAAACCAGCTTCAGTCTGGGCTAGTACAAGCAGCCGCACATACACATACACACGCATGCACGTCATCATATGAGCGAAATATTCTCAAGCACGACGTCAAACCCAATTTCACCTCACCTCAACATGTCAAAGAATATGTCCTTGTACAGTTCTAAATCAATCTGTATAATTCCATGTCATTCACAATGATTAAAACGTGTAGTTCCTTAGATAGGTATTGCAGTGAGCACAACATCGGTCCCATCCATTATCTGCTTATTATTTGTTATAGTTCTTACATATAATTCCATATATAGTATGATATTACATATCCATAACCATGTAACTCTCGATCGAGTCATGAACATTTCTGCCAAAGTGCTCTAAATGTCATAGAATGTAATTTTCGGACAGGCTGATAGATATCTGCACATATGTAATTTGGCCAATGCATAAAATGTTTGATTGTTGTGGAATTCTAAACATTAATATGATATCAAGATTTAGATGCTCTTCACATGATCTTATGATCGAGAAGGGCAGATATTATAATATTCCAAGAGAAAACAGATTGTGCAAATTTTGTGCACTAAATGTAATTGAAGATTAATTCCACTTTTTGCTGGTATGTCCTTACTATGCAGATTTAAGGACAAAATATCTACCACAATATTACTATTCACATCCTACCATGTTTAAATTTAATTTGATAATGAACTCTAATAATACAACTTATATTCGCAAACTTGGTATGTATATCCACCATGCTTTTGAACATAGAAAATAACATTTGCAAACATTGTCATTGTATGCCATTATTGTTCTCATACTTTGTACTATAGGCCTGTACGCCGCCGCCTCTTCAGTAATGGAATAAAGAGAGAGAGATATAAACTGTTCTTAAACTTAACTCTTTTGTAATACATTGCATTTTAGTTTGTGTATTGTGACTTCAGTTTCATAAAGCCAAAATATAATAGTTTGCTTTTGTTGAAACCACAGGGGCTTGTAATGCTAAAAACTGGCACCAAGGTACATACTGTCACTGAGGGGGTCTTAACACTATATAAAAGGATATATAGTGTAAAGACCTTGTCAGTGACAGTATATACCTTGATGCCAGTTTTTAGCATTACAAGCCCCTGTGGTTGAAACAACCCCAAGAAAACAGTATATAGTCATACAAATCACTTGACAATAATAATAAAATACTTTATAAACATTATGTGAAGAAGACAGCATAAAACTGTCAGGAATCTACAGTCAAACACCGTTGTGTCGAACTCTGATAACTCGATATCTCGGTTGTCTCGATATAATTTTTCATTCCCGGCAAAATCCTTCATTATTTACCATTATTTGAACCCTTTTAACTCGATACGGATGTCTCGATATTTCGGATATCTCGATATGATTTCATGGTCCCGACAAGCAAAATTACCCTTTTAACTCGATATTTGCACGTAAAGTCGATATACACCTACCTTTCTAGGACAAGTATCCATCTGAACTGTGACTGTCTCCACGTGTTTACACACACGCTGCGGCATGAATCAAAGGTAGCGGCAGTGTAAGCTAATTAAGGCTAATTGAGTTGTAGGTGTCACTTGTTTGTTTATCTAACTAGGATGTACTCCCAATTTCAACTTAACACTCCTGATAACGGATTATAGTATCGAATCAAAACATAAATAATAGACATGCAATCTACTGTTTTCTTTTGTTTTCTTTCATGTTGGTATGTGATGATATGCCCAACTCGGATGTGTCGATATTCGGATAAGTCGATATTTTTCCTGGTCCCATAAATATCGAGACAACGGTGTTCGACTGTATTTTGTTTTGTCATGTGGATATGTTCACTAAACAGTAACCTACATCCACACTTTACCTGGGTTTTAATTAACCTTAAATAATCACTTCCTAATTCCTGTCACTAATGAAACTGTTTCTTCACTGTAGACGATGATGACAGTGACAGCGACAGCAGCGACAGCAGCGATGATGAAGAAAAGACAAAATCCCCAAAGAAAAAGGAACCTGTGAAGCAACCCCCACAGAGTCCAAGAAAAGATCGACCTGACAGTGTTGCAAAGAAATCTTCAACCTGTGTTTTGTTGTAAAAATACTTCTACCAGATATATTTTGTACATACCAGCCAAGTTAGATGTGTACAAAGTCATATATGTCATGAATAACCTGGAACCATCTTAAGGTAAACTCATGTATATAATATCTATTTACTAGTGCAAAGTATATTGTTTTAGATGAAATATTCGATAACAAATTCATCGATTTACATTTTCATTCCAGTCAAAAATAACAAAACCAAAACATGTTTCAGGGTTTTCAGTGTAATATATTTATGTTAAATGTCACATACATGCTATAGCTGATGACTGTTTTCCTACTATGTCTGTAATTATTACACTGTACAGGACCATTGTAAACCAAAAGTCACTGTGTTCTTTAATCTGATTGGTTGAAAAACGTGATCAAATGGTATTCGATTCCCGGAAATTCGCTGCGTATTAATACATACAAACATCGCTCACACCATTGTATTATTACGTCGTCAGCTGAGATGACGTCATTCAAATCATATTGTGACGTAAAGTCTGAATGACGTCACAAATGAGCTGTTCTAGATGCTACCATGGGAGACAGCCGAAACGGCCGGCTGATGACATTTCACTGCTGTACCCGTACTCTATGTCAATGAGTGCAGACAGAAAAACGTGTGTGGACCTTTTGGTTTACTTTTGTGTTTACAATGTCGATAAACATCATGTGTTGGCCAATTTCCGGGTGTTATTGAGTATTTGAAGCGTGGGAATATTCCATTTGAAACCTCCGGCTGACACTGTCGGTTCCAAATGAATTCCCGTGCTTCAAATACTCAATAACACCCGGAAATTGGCCAACACATGATGTTTATCTCCTAATTGGCTAATGGTATAAATATTCCTGAATATGACACAAGTGTCGAAAACAGTTTTCAGATTATGGAACTTGTCCCATTTATATCAGACATCATCTTCCTCTCAAATTATGTTTGCAGCACCACTGGGATCTCATCAATGATTAAGTCATCAAGAAACATTATTTACATGTTTTAAGAGTTTCTATTTACTTTCCCATGAGGATGACCCATCTAGTGTCGTGATATCTGTGTTTGATAAAATAAATTACCTAGGCAACGGACACTAAAGAATACTTAACAAGCAATACAAATTTGAAATATAAATTTGAAGAAATGATACACAAACATTGCACAATGCTTCCTTGAATTTGAAAATAGATCTGATGAACAAGTGTTTATTGTTGACTGAATACTTGATATAATTTTATAAATCATAAATTATTCCCATGATCTCATATGTTGCTTGTTATATTGAATATGGTGATCCCAGCTTCTTTGATGGACCTCAGAGTTTGAGGGTGGTTATGTCATTTACCCAATTGCTCATTGTGTTGGAATTTTGGTGAAATTCTGATATAAATTTGGTTTGATTCAATATTTTTGCATATATGTGCCTCCTATTTTCCAAACTTCAAACCTGTGTATCTGATTTTGTTTGTGCTTGACATGTGTACATATATGACTACCTCTTGTATTTAAATTTATAGTAAGGCCATGATAAATTAATTTGGGGGGTTTTGTCCTTCATTCCCTCATTTGCCTGAGCCCCTAACAACATTTTACAAAGCATAATGGACATTTATTAGCCTCTTTCAGCAATCATGAAGAATGTCTGACAATTATGATTCAGTCAGTTTGAAGAGGCTGAATTTAAAAAAGTAATACATATCCATATAACTTGGACAAAAACATCATTGGAAATTTATCATGGCCAATCTGTATACTGTGTTTATTTTGAGATTTTGTAGAATAAACTATTATGAATTTTCTGTAATATAAAGTTTAAAAATGATTGTTTCATATGATGGCAATGTCAACATACATTCTGACCAGGTCTGGTTTACCAGAGTTTATTAAATAACAAAGGGAGATAACTCATACTCATGACACAGTGACTTGTATAAACAATGTGAAATAATATGGGTTCTTCCTTTATGACATCATGTAGTCTGAAGGAAAATAGTCTATATGGACGCAGATATTAAACTGATAACCCTAAATGAGTCAGTCACACCTATCATTTCATGACACGACACTCCTGTGCAATAACAATACAAGTATAGAATGTTTGGGTGTCTCATTCCGCCTGTTCCTTTAGCTTTGTCTTGTTATATCAAGCATTCTTCTATTAGTTTACTTTTACTCTATCATTTCAGCACCAGTGTTACTGATAAAAAGATTTTATAATGATGTTATACAATTTTGGACTTAATTTTTATTTTATGGAGTCAAAAATGGCAATAATCCGAGTGCAAGAAACCTCGCCTATATGATGATGGTACTTATGGCAGTGACCATATACAGACCTTATAGAAATATAACACACACCTCAGGTGTCGTATGACTTCAGGTAGGTTGACGAATTATTAGGTGATGATAACTGGATATAAAACAGATATTTCTGTCATCAGATGAAAGAAAATATTGTATCTATTATTTGGAATTAAACAATTGAAATTGTGTCCATTTATGATTTAGATATCCATTCTTGCTGTGGAATATTCAAAACAGTATTCATTTTTTTCTCTTTTGTTTGGACCAATCATCAGACTGAGTTTTAAACTGGTCATTGTGAAATTTAGCAAAAACAAAATATAGTCCTATTCCATAACCAAAATGAAATTAATATAACCAAATATTTTTTACTGAAAGATTGTAACACAAACGGGTGTTCATTTCTGACGTCACATTCATTGGTTCATAAATATTTGGATATGTATTGTTTTTATACTTATTATTAGGATATATAACGTTTTTATAGTTTATTAACAATTTTAGCAATTTTTGTTTGTTTTTATTTAAATGAGCCGATACAGCAATCATAGCGCTTCCACAATGTCTCTATAGTCGATCTGAATTAAATAAAACTTGACTGTAAAAAAGGAACTGTTGATTATCTTTGTAAGTTAATTTTTATAAAACCTATTTACATTTTCCTTCAACAGTTCATATTCTCCAGCAGCTATGAAATTAATAAACAATTATTGATTAACAAAAAGATTTTGAAGCTCTGGAAATATATCCATTCTTTTATGATGTGGCATAATTCTTTTATAGAGACATACCCCATGATTTTAGGACAAACACTTTATTTGTGTGCGTTCAAATCATTTTGCTGTTTCAATCAAACTCGTACTAATTTGTTTACCAGTTTTATGAAAATATAATGTCTCTACGTCAGAGAAAAATAGAATTTTAATAAAATAAAACAAATTTGGCAATCACATTTGCTGCAAGGCAGATAAACTATAGCCAGTATTAGTATTTAGTATGGCTATTCTTCTCATCTGGTTAAACTGAACTATTACAAGTTTGTTTGAGAATAGCTGTGGCTCACTAGTGGTTTGTGTGAATTATTAATTAGCAGTTTGTTATGTATCAGATATTATTCATTAACATTTCTTTATTAGTCAGATTTCAGAGAATTTTCTTCTAACTTAGAATCTATTGGATGTCCAATTGAGAAGTAGTGTACTAAAACGTCAGTGAAATCTTGGCTACATGGAATTGTTCGTATCACAAAGAACAAAAAGGAGAGACCTAAAGGCCACAGCTAAAAGAATGTGTAGTAATTTAAATTGAATTGTATTTTTTATTTTGCTTGAAATGAATGAAATATCTCTGAAATCTCTGCTAGTGATTAGTACTAACAAAAGTGCGAATGCTTCTGATAATGTCCCTACACGATGCACCAACATCAACAGCCGTTGGTTACCTTCTGTAAGCTATCCTAGAGAGGCTTATTGTTATCAATTTAGTATGAAACATGTTCAGTTTACAAAGAGGGCTTAGAATATCATCGCTGTGCTGAATCAAGAGGGGTCCTCATTTGATATGATTAGACAGTTGTGTCAAACAGCATGTTCGACACAGTTAACCTGTAAATCACATTATATCACCATATTTGCACACTTTTTTTCTGCATACAAAACAATGCCAAGCAGAACAGTAGATATAATTTAAATTGTCTCAAGGGATGTTGTATCTCAAATTTCAATTTGTTAATGACTAAGTCTGTTAATACTTGCTAACTAGCACATGAATTCGCTGATGGGATACAATGTAGATTTTTGTCTGCACATAATATGCACATCATACAAGTGCACCCAAAACTAAAAAAATTAAACATATATTATTTGGGTATGTGGTAAACAGCACATTATTAAGTAAAACTTCCTTACAATTGCATCATTTTTAAAGGAGGAGGCACATATGACACCTAAGTCTTGATGTTGACTTGTGAGAGGGTGCAGTTCAAATGTCAGTGTCTCACTAAGGATCCACTCCATGTAACCATCCTCTGCTGGTACTTTTACAGTTTAGGGGTGATGGGGTAGCCTAGTGGTTAAAACGTTCACTCGTCACCCTGAAGACCCGGGTTCGATTCCCCACATGGGTTCAATGTGTGAAGCCCATTTCTGGTGTCCCCCGTTGTGATATTGCTGGAATATTGCTAAAGCGGCGTAAAACCATACTCACTCACTCACTTATACAGTTTAGAGGACGGTGGGGTAGCCCAGTGGATAAGGCGTTCGCTCGTCACGCTGAAGACCCGGGTTCAATTCCCCCCATGGGCACAAAGTGTGAAGCCCATTTCTGATGTCCCCTGCTGTGATATTGCAAAAAGTGGCATAAAACTAAACTGACTATACAGTTATGATTTGCTGTTGCTTGCCTTCCTCCCCTCTTGACTCTCACACAGCCCTGTAACATGTATTTATGAGAACAGATGTATTAGAATTGCCTTGCTGGGTTGACATGTTAGGCAGGAAGTGCTTTAGACTGTTCTATCTAGATGTGTGATATTATGAGTGTTGATAAGAAATTCTAAAAGGGTTCACTGACACACATCGAGATGTCAATGTGCAACTTGTGTAAGTCTTACCTAGAATGTGTGGTGAGAATTTTCACAGGTTTTGACAAATGTGTAGAATATGTCAACCAGTCTACCCCTTTAGGATTAATAGATGAAGTTGTCACTTTACTCCAAGAATAATGAATACAAGAAAATTAAACTTCAAAACAACTGTATATTTCTGAAATAGATGTTCATAAACAAATATACATATATTTTTCAAAAAGATTTTAATGCTCATAAAATCTAAAATGTTAAAAAAATAACAGATAAAGTTGATATTTTTTTGTATAGATATTACAAGATAGTACAAAAACATCTAACATTTTATGATTTCAAAAGTTATACAGATAAGAGAATTTCATGTACTGATGACACTGAGCAAATTGAACCAGTCTTTGGATTAAATATCATCAATTTTTAATAAACCCATTTTTTTAAATCTCCATTTAAAAGAGAAATACTTGGAGTAGAGTGAAAACCTGTTGCAATGAACACTGCCACTACCTACATCATGTGATCGTGATGTGAGGTGACTCAACTGCTTGTCAAAGCAAGGCTGTGATACAGATGTACATATTTTACACCTTTCACCTTCATTTCAAAAATCATACTTTTCCTCTCCTTAGACTGAATATGCCTAAGAGGTAGATACGAATATATTCAAAATAAAACTGAAGTATTGTTTTACTATGGTTTTACTGGTGAAGGCTATACACTGTAGCATCTATGATTACACATTTTGATTAACTGAATTTTGTAAAGGGAAATAGAAGTTTTTGTTGCGCCTAAGAGTTGCATTTTCAATGTGAATATTTTAAATTAGATTTTAGAAAAGATAATGCAGTTATTGACCAAATACAAGTAATTTTGTGTGAATATTGTTGTTGACATTTTTTTAGACATATTACCTATTAGAAATACATATCTGTTAGATTCTTTATGTTCCTGGTGTGACTGACTATTTGGGTTAATTGTTGATATACAAGTCCTTTCCTGACAGGCATTATGTATCTTTATTCATGCATATTTTTTAACCATTTTACTTGACACCAAAACCAATCACCACAGAATGTTTGAAAGTAATCAAAGAACCATATTCCAACCCAAAACTGTACTTTGTCATGAGAATCACGAAGTCCATACATTGTCCATGTACATAATTATTGTTATTGTATATGACAACTCTAAACTTCTGTCTGTTAACAAATTTCCTTTTAAGGAGAGAATGATACATATATTTTCTTAGATAAAGAATAATGCACAAATATGTAATTATTAATTATTTATTGAAATCCATGGTAAATGCTCAAACAGTGGAGTGATAATGTCACCTTCAAATCAACTAGTATTGTGGTAGTTGCTTTGTTTCAGAATACATGTGTACCTCTGTGTTTTGAAAACTTCCTTGTTTGTAATATCTGACTGTACACACCAGTATGTGGTTTTATGTTGTAAAGGTGTTCAATTATCACTTTTAAGATAACTCATTTTTCATGAACAAATACCTAAATTAACTGTGGTAGTATTTTATATTTACACACATACCTCTTGTACCTCATGCCTAATTCCCTCTTAGCCAAAGTGGCACTTGTTAATAATCCTTAATGATTCATATTTGATTAACTGTATACCAAAAACATGCAATAATTTCCATTAGATTTTCAATAAGAATTTAATGTCAACTTAAAATAATTTTTTCATAGATGAAACTTAAAAGTTGTCATATACCATGTGTGTAGTACATGTACTAGGGAAATGAGGCAAGAAATACATTTTTGGTCCATGAACAAAGATTGAGCTATATTGTTGTTGAGATATGAAACAAATACAGTGGAAGCTGTCTACACCAGCACACGTCGGGACTGAATAAATACTCCGGTTTCGACAGCGTGCCGGAATGAAGAGCTGACACGGTTACCTACCACTAGAACTGAACCAGTTTTATCACTCTCATATACATTGTTGTGTAACGTGGTTTTCTCAATTTCTCTCTCAACTCACTAATATCATGTACAAGTACACCCATACTGAACTAAGATTAAATTATCTTTGTCGGCAACCATGTAGTTTCAACACAGGATTACGGACTCCTTGCCACGCGCCGGATTGGACAGTGCTGATTACTGTATAAACACATATTCGGGCGGCTCATTTCATGCCGAGATCTGGAATTGACAGCTGCCGGATTGCAGAGCTTTTAAATGATGATAATTGTACTAGCCATGGACGGGACTGAGATTTTATGCCGATGTTGACAACTTGCAGGATTGGACAGCTGCCGGGTTTGACAGCTTCCACTGTATGCCTTAGTTTCAGGAAAACAGTCGGTTGGCTGTCACAGGGATCGTTATTGATAGTTGGGGACCGGTTTTGGGAAGAAAAGTCTGTAATCTATGGATGTAACCATAGAGACAATTGTACACAAATTGCATGTAAATTATTGCTTTGCACAGTATGAACTGAAATACTTCTAACATGTTGAACTGTTTTCCGTCCATAGAGGTTAATGAACTGATGTGTTTAATAGCAAGACTTATTTTGCTAGAGAATTTACAGAATTGTTGAAATTGTTTCACAGCCAAATTGTTGGACACCAACATAGGAATGATGTGCTGGGTTGTTCAATAAATGGGTAGCAGTTGCTATGACAACTGTCATGTTATATTGTTTTTGTTTTCAATGGAGATTGAATCTTGTATGTGATCAAATACAATGATGTGAGGGAACAATATGAAAAATGTTTGTATTGATTCAACAAATATCTAGCTCGAGAAATAAAATCTTGTTTGATTTCATAATTAGCTTTTGTTTTGACCATGTCCCAGTTAACTTCATTAATTTATCCAGAGTATTTTCTCCTTTCTATTTATGATAATTAGTCTGCACCCATGGCTTTGTTTTCAGTTTGATAAGAGTGAGTGAGTGAGTTTAGTTATGCTGCACTCCGCAATATTCCAGCTATATGGCGGTCTGTAAATCATTGAGTCTGGACCAGATAATCCAGTGATCAACAGCATGAGCATCGATCTACTGCAATTGGGAACCTATGACATGTGTCAACCAAGTCAGCGATCCTGACCAGCCGATCCCGTTGTCGCCTCGGACGCAGTTTGATAAGAGTGATACAGTGCTACAAATGTCTGTCAAGGGGCATTTACAATACTTGAATGAAAATATGATACATGTATATTAGTTAGTTGAGGATGCTTGGAGAGGAAAGGAAATAAAACCCAACACACTTTCAAACTCAGCAGTGTCACGGAGGTGAGATGGGGCAGTGGTGGGGTCTAGTGGTTAAAGTGGTGCTCGTCATGCCGAAGACCCGGGTTCAACTCTCCACAATGTACAATTGTGAAACCCACTTTTAGCGCTAGAAAATTGAGATGCCATGCAAACGTTTAATCCCCACTCATGGACACCCCACTCAGGTCAGTATACTGACTCTGAGATGACCAGACCTTGTTTTGTTTCCTTAATGCCGAATTCCAGGCAGGGCAACAACAAGTACCATCTTTAAATGTCATTTGGTATGATGCACCTGGGAATCGAACAACCAGCCTTCTGCTTTCCGGGCAGACACACTGTCCACTAGACCAAGGAAGTGATCCACTGAGTGAGTGACTGAGCTAGAAGCTCCTGTCACAGCCGTGTGTCATCACATTCAGCAGTCAGGGCAGACGCACTGTCCACTAGACCAAGGAAGTGATCCACTGAGTGAGTGACTGAGCTAGAAGCTCCTGTCACAGCCGTGTGTCATCACATTCAGCAGTCAGGATGGCCATGAAATAACTCCAAAGAAACTTGGAACAAGTGGGATAGGTCTATGGATATACAACTTCTTTAATATATGCAATGTTTCACTGTAGATGCAAGCGATCACTTGCTTTCTAACGATATTGGCAGCTTGATGCATGTTATTATTCATTACATGAGAAAGTAACAACCAACTGGACCACTATTAGAGGTAGCAATGAAATTGTGGAGATAAGTAATATTCACTTACATACTCTGTGCCGACAAACCACTGTAACACCATGTGTTACACCAATGAAATATCGTTCAAACACGGCCTTATGCTTAGATACTTTCCATATCTAATTACAATGTATACAAACAAACAGTCATTTCCAATAAAATATATGAGGTATTCATATCATCATAATTCTAGCATAATATCCAGCTGCTAAATATAACATAAACATACAGTGTTTCACTTTGCCATACTGACTGACTGAGTTTGGTTTTACGCCGCTTTTAGCAATATTCCAGCAACATCACGGCGGGAGACACCAGAAATGGGCTTCACACAATGTACCCATGTGGGGATTCGAACCCGGGTCTTCGGCATTACGAGCCAACGCTTTAACCACTAGGCTACCCCACCGCCCCCACTTTGCCATACCAAACTAGCAGTCCACAGGACCCCCAACTGCCAAGTTACAACTTAGGGTTCTTACAGGAAATATGATACCTGTAAATTAATGAAAGGATGTAGAGAAAATGATGTACTGTACTGCAAGATTTGATAATAATTTTTATTACAGATGCTTAATATTTATCAAAATTTGGTACAGTGAATGATACATTGTAAACATTGCATAAACAATGGTCATAAAAATATCAGTTGTTGGTTGTTTCACATTTCACTCTCACACAGTACTATTTTTAAATGATTCCTGAGTAGTCTCCCTTACATCAGGGAACAGTGAGTGATTATCGCCTAATATTGTATCAGCAATGTTGCAGCTACAGTCCGTGATCGGGACATTCAGAAGAGGTGACTAAGGAGTCTGCAATGCAATGATGAAGACTATCATTTTCAGTCTACTTGACCATATTATAATGATAACCTAGCTAAACTCTTACAAATGGCCAATCTTTGCTAGTCCTTATGATGCCTTAACGATTGTGCAGTTAGGCAAAGACCAGTGCCAATTAGGACCAGTTAGGACCAGCTGCTAATTTCTATCTCAAACAAATCTCACAGACAACTTCATAAGCTATCAGTTCTCCATTATCAAATAACCTTCATGTAGGCAACATGGGTACAAGTCGTGTTCATATTTACAGCAATCATATTCTACAACTTTCTAAACAATACCTTCTTCTTTTGTTTAAGATTTGATTATCTGGTGCAATCTGCATTAACTAGTTCACTTCATAAATACAAGTGTCACGTTTCACACATCACAGCTCGACCAGTTTCTGGACTTGACTCTGAGGCAGACGGTCCAGATGCGGCCCGCAGATCCCAGAGAACAACCATATCACACATTATCACAGTTAACTTGGTTATTTCTTCTTCTTCATTTCTTCCTTAACTTCATTCATTCCTTCTTTCAATTCTTTGGTAAATGTGTTTCGAAAGTTGTCAAATTTCTGCCCAGAGTTTTTGGCTTCCTGCTGAAGTTTATTCACAACGTCTGCTTCTTGAATCTTCTCAAGACTCTGCAGGCCTGACAAAACAGAGCATCATATAATAAAGGTGCTTTCATACAATGAGTGAATATTACAGTTAAGAATACACCAGCTATTTCATAGTAGCTCATAGACAGTCAACAGTCACTGAGTCAACAGTGTCTGTTCCAACCACACTTGTTGACAGCAGGAGCTAAGACTTGTGAGGTCACACATCGTAACAATCTTGTAGTCACTGTCATGTTGCTTTCATAGTAATGGTTTTTTTCTTTTCAACACAAACTTGTCTGAATATACTAGCCCCAAATTTACTCTTGACATCAGATTTAGTGTTAACATGCAGACTCTGTTCAGCTGAAGCATACAAAATGTATGAGATTAAGGCACTGAACTAGTTGCTCAAGTCACTAATTGTACTTAGGAAAACATTTGAATAGTAAATAAAACTATATGACAATAATGGTGCATACTAATCGGTGGGCCAGATAATTATTAACTTTTGCTATCATATGAATTGAATTCCATTACAGAACTACTTTCCTTTCCTTTCAAGAAACGTCAGAGAGAGCATACGAACAAAGCTATACTTGAATGGTCAGAAGACTGTCTTGGTGTACTCACCAGCTTCCCTCCCTCTGTGTAGCATGTAGGCTGTTAACTGTGCAGCTCTTCGTATAGGGTAGCTCTCTGCAAGCTGAACAAGAGAGACAATGAGTGTTTGAATCTGTAGGTTGTCATATTGTGGACGCACCAGGCAGCATTTATCCTCAATTGTTATGTGTATTATCATGATTTTAAATACCCTGGATCTATTTACCTTCTACTTACTTCTACTGAGGTAAAAATAGCTGTCCAGTTAAGTAACAGTCATGAGTGAGGGAAATCACTGATGAGAGTTTTGTCACTTCCTGTCTGAAGTGTTAAAAAGGGTCCAGGTTTCTGGACAAACAGCTTGACACTTGACCACTGAAGTTTACCTTATATAATTTCAGCCTTGCCACAGAATAAGGACCGATCTCTTCCTCCCAATATAACAGATGGCCAGTAGCTTTTATCCATAAATCCTTGCTATATGTATGAATATCTGACTTGGAAGGAAAACAATTAGGACTGACCACTTTTAGCAATATTCCAGCAACATCACGGCGGGAGACATCAGAAATGGGCTTCACACATTGTACCAATGTGGGGATTCGAACCCGGGTCTTCGGCGTGATGAGACAACGCTTTAACCATTTGGCTAACCCACCGCCCCCGAAAACAATTAGGATGTCAGGTAGACCTACATTTGTTCTAAGTAAATTTACAAACCTTTTGCACCACCTGCTCATTTTGCATCAGATATCTGAAACAATAAAAGAAAAGTCAAATTAAAGTCTAGGCACTCTTGTCTGTTACATGGACTTGGGTGTGGGATTGCTTGAGTAAATGTTTGTATATCCTATATTTGACACATCAACCAGGCTACATAGTGTTCAAATCCGTTTATTCAGTACTGAAGAGGCCACAGGCCTGTAGTACAATTACAATATGCATATGGTAGAATATAAGCAATGATTAACGTGTATATTACATGACACAATTAAGACATGACAGTCTTACATATTGCTACAATCTCATTAAACTGAGGAATTCATGCCAGGCTTATAATCCAGTCACAAACACATGCTGCAATAAACTTTCGACGAAAGTTTGGTCAGGTCATTGGTTTTCGAAGGTAGTGCTCACTTGGGTGGTAACGAGGGTTGTTGCGTCAAACAGACATTATAAATTCATAAATGGTGGATTGTGTTTAGTATATAGGGTCGTATATAATTATCTATAAGTCAGTGACATGTTCTACAATATTGGTCATGCGATAATTGAGACAAGAATTGACACATGCGGGTGTTACCAAAGGTAAATTAACCTTAATAAAGCTCTGAGAGGCATCCTGATGTAGGAACTACGTAATGAAGAAATGTGTCGCCGAATTCAACTTCACATAATGCGTCGCGTCTTCCTTGTCACTCAAAAGTTGGTTCGACCGAGTTGCGTGAAAAGGCACAAAACAAAACACTGGCCAGCTCGACCTTGACTTTTATGTATACTGCTCCAATACAGCGCGTATTGTACTTTGTGGGGTTAAAAAGGACACGGCGAGACCCTGTTAGGAACTTAACAAAGTTATACTCTGCAGCAGTGCATGTTATGCTCTGGAATGCTGCATAAGGAAAGAACATGTCGTGGCAATGAGCTTGCACAGGCAAGCCGACTGCAGGTTGTGAAACCTTTCATCACTTTTACATCATGCTGAGGTGTTAATTGTTAATAAAACCAATACTGAATTTTATCATTTTCGCAAAACATTCAAAGCAAATCCTGTTTGCTTTATGTTTGCGTAAGTTTTACCTGTCATGTTGCTCGGGGATGCAACTGAAGTCTGAATCTGGAAAACTTCACAAAACCAGTAGGTCTAACATGTGCAGTAGCTCTAGCTTTTAACTAGCCTCCTTTTAGACCTACTATTATTAAAGCCAAGGGAGACCGCTGTGTATATAGTTCGTTATACGCATTTCGACAGAAATATGCAGCAAGTGGCTGATATATCCACCAGTTCGTTATTTATAAACATATCTTGTTGTAGTATTAAAAATGTCCATGCAGTAATGTGGCACTGACTTTAATGATTATATTGTTTCAGATAGAAATGGCTTGCTCAATGGTACAGCGACTGGGTTGTCGTCTTGTCTACAGGACAAAAATCATGGTCGAGCCGAAGTTTTCCCCTGCAGTGTCTGCTCCTTGTTTCTCCACAGACAACTCGTCGGTGCAACCAACTACATCAAGTCAACTTCCCAGTGTATCATTACGTCTCTTGCAGGATGAATTTAATATCCAGAAAATACCATTTCACAGTCAGTTCAATGACAGTAAGATTTATTCCATTAATCATGGACATCAAAGTGTATCAACACAAGAAAAGGAAAAAGTAAAAAATTCATTAAAGCAGTGCAGGTCTGTCACAGATGTTTTTCGAAAATTGGACATCCCCACAAGTGATCAAACTGAAGAATTAGCAGGCTCAGCATCACATGCTCTACTGAGAATATGTAGTGTACAAAGAGATGAGAAAGCCAGTGACAGTAGTAATGAGTCAGAGACAATTCTATGTGACAGTTTATTGGATGAATTATATGACATAGCTGGAAGAAACCTGTCATCTTTGCCCAGTAGTACAGTACTCACTCTGGGTAAAACGTTTCTGAAGTTCGAAAATACCAAACACAATTTTTCTGAATCTTTAATAGAAGATATAAAAGACGTATAGTCGAGTTACAGTTCTCTTTGACAGATTTGTTTACACTGTGTGATGTGCTGAAGGGGAATAAAAAGTATCAGGAATTGGTCAACTTGATTTGGTTCCATATTGGTAAAAGTTCCATCAAAATTGATATCTCGCCTATCCTCTGGGGACCTTCACAGTCTAACGTCGGTATCATGGAGCTGATGAAACTATGGATCACATTAAACAGCAGCAGTACCAGTGAAGAAATGGTGTCCATCCTCAATTCATTGGTTCGATTAAATGTCTGTCATAGAAGAATCCTGGAGAGTCTTAGCAGATTTATCAGTAAGACACTCCCTGACACCAAGGACACGGATATTATGCAGATCTTGCTTGCCTATAACCATTTCGAGTATAGTGACCGTATTTTCATGGAGGCTTTGGAGAAATATGTCATCTCGCATGGCTCCCAACTGAATACAAATCTCCTTGCTCTTATAATGGAGCATTGCTATGCCAGCAGAACCTTATCACCTTTAATATTTGATAAGGCTGCTTCACATCTCTTAGAAAATGGACATTCATACAATCCGCTGCAGATTTACTTGATCTTGCGACCTTTTGGACATCTGAATTACTCCCCCCAACCACGGCATAAGTTTGTATGTGAAGCAGAAACTGTTATCTTGAAGCAGTTGTTTAATTTAGAAGCCCACCATGTGATCGAACTTGTGTGTACTTTTGCCTTTCAGGCAAATTTTTCACGAAACTTTGCACTAAAAGTATTCACTCCATATTTCTTTGGGAAGCTAGCATGTGAGTATTGCTGTTTAATTTAAGTTTATTTGCAACTCTACATTCAACATGTTCAGTGATAATTCACACAAGTGACTTATTCTGTATCCAGTATGACGCTCAGTGTGTTCAGGGATGGAATTGGTCTTCAGCAACCAATGTTCGTGGTAACAGGCCATCAAGCATGAGGTGGATAAGCTGTCAATCTCCATGATTGTCAATCTCTGTTGATGCATGTCATTGTATTCTGGAGTGGTTGGGTAGCCTAGTGGTTAAAGCGCTCGCTCATAACGCTGAAGGCCCAGGTTCCAGTCCCCACATGGGCACAATGTGTGAAGCCCATTTCTGGTGTCACCTGCTGAGATATTGCTGGAATATTGCTAATACTGCTGACTGAGTGAGTTTGGTTGTAACTCACTATTCACTAACTCATTGTATTCCAGAGAACAATTCTCATATTGTCATTTACTGGATTGTTTGGCCCAAATTTAATTATTTATACATCATATAGATGGATTATTGCTGAGTGTGGTATTAAGTAACAACATCAACCCAAATGATTCAATGATACATGAAGTTGTTTAAGAATGCAATTAGATATTTATAGACTTAGCCTTTTAATGTGACCATCAAGCAGGGTATGAAACTCCCAAAACTTTCAGCCAGACCACAGGGCTGGTTGGATGTAAAACTTGCCAGCCCTGACCAAAACTTACCTGCCTGCAAATAATTTAGGTATGACAAGTGACGTAGTTTATCATCCAATTGGAATTCATCATTTATTTTTACGAGTGAATTTATAATGATTTATTATCCTGAAATATGGTGAATATCTTCAGATACTTGTCTAAATTTTACCCCGAACCGTTGGGCAGGTGAATTTGAGAATCTGGTAGTCTGTGTTGAAAATAACCCATTCTGGGTGGTTGGGCAGGCAGTTATTTAGAACGCTGCATAAAGTGTGATGTCTTAACCTTGTTAAGATAACAGAAATTTCTGACATCAAGGGGTTCTTGAAATGTGAACCTTAAAAGTGTGTATTGGCTCTTTCTTCATTAAATGTGGTATTTTTAGAATTGGACCCTGAGCAGAGGAGACAAGCGAGTGAATATTTGCTGATGTTTAAAATGGCTCTCATCACAGAGACAAACATCTGGAAGGAGGTCATGTCTCAACCTCATGGCAGCATGATGGCAGGTAGGTCAAGGTCACATGCTAACGTTCTTCTCTCTGTCCTCAACTCTCCATGAGAAACTGATAAGGGATGCAACAATACAAATTGTAAACAGATGATAATTACATTATCGTGACAATCTGACACAAGTCAAGTCAAATAAATGGTCACTTTGTGGAGCACTAATGGCAAATATTCAAGATCTAGATCAATTCAGTCTGTTTTCGAGTTAGAAGGGGTGACCTAATGGATCGGGTGTTCAGGTACTGTGACCTGGTTGATAGAACATCAACCCCAAAGGTTTGAATTTTCGTGCACAATATGAATCATGGGATTGTATGGTCTAGATTCAGTTATTTGGCATCATTCCACTAGCCCCTGTCCCCCTAGCCGCCTGTTGTTACAAGACATTAATTAGTACCTCTAGCCCCTCGCCTGGCTGTTCTGCTAGCTGTCATCACTCCCCTGTAACTGGATTAACTGGTACTAAGCTCGTTAGGTCAGGTTTTGGTTGTGAATAGCCTGGAGGTACTAAAAGTAGCTGGTAACAACAGGGGGCTAGGGGGATGGGGGGCTAGAGGGGTGGAGTCAGTTATTTACATACAGCTATAATCTTGCTGAATGAGGGCTGGTGGGGTAGCCTAGTGGTTAAATTGTTTGCTCATCATGCCGAAGATCCGGGTTCACTTCCCCACATGGGTACAATGTGTGAGGCCCATTTCTGGTGTCCCCAGCTGTGATATTGCTGGAATATTGCTAAAAGTGGTGTAAAAATCAACTCACTCACTTGCTTTCTGAATGAGCTGAAAACAGTTCATAATGCCTATGTTGCCTGGCAATCCCATATAATGCTTTTACTGGAAATGACCTGACCAGAAAGTTCATAAATACATCAGATGTGTGGTTCTTAAGTGAGGAGTAACAAAAGGCTTTATGACATGGTGTCTAGGATATGGTGGTGTTAACTGGTTTATATCTGTCACAGGTACAGTCGTAGAACTACAGCACACCTGGGGTGAGTGTTTTTTAAAATATTTTTTAGTTTTTCTTTTTATTAAACATTTTTTATGATTTTGATGAATTTTGAAGGGCCACTGATCCAGAGCAATTTCCGTGGACTGGTTGTTGCTTTTGTTATTGTTTTTCTCCAGTGAGTACCCGGATGATATCCCAGAATTCATGACTGGTTCGTTACCCCTGCTGCGCCACCCTCATGCGCAATTGATAGTATAAGTATAGACTGATCAACAACCATTAAATCTTTTTTACTCGATAATCTTATGTTGATTTTGTTGTAAAATTATGTAGACTTTGATGAATAATTTGGTTTCTTACAAAAAAATATTTACTTTGATAAAAATGCTGATTTTGATGTAAAATTTTGATTTCATAGTAATATAATAATGTTAACGTAAATGGATGTAGATTTTGATTCAAGGAATAGTTTGACCTTGAATTTGGTGAGAAGCCTGATATAATAGCATTGTTTTGAAAGTAAGGCTAACTAAGTACATGGGGAGTCTTGGGGAGAGTAGTGAACCCAAGCTCACTAATCTGAATGTTGTATTAAATGGCATTATTTTGATAACAAATGAAAACATTAAGTTTAACCATCTGCCAGTGGTAAAAAATGTTATGACTGAAATAACGAAGTCAATGTACGTCTTTATATTTTGTCTTATAATCCTAATTAGTTTACTATCATATTTGTATGCATTTTGAAACTTAATAAAATGCACACGATCTGCTTATACTTAGTGAATTTTTAACATGATTGTGATATACATGTATAGACATTTTATAGATTGCCAATGTGTATCATATTTCACACACACGCCCTGAGTGCGACCTAGTGTATGTTGTCTGTCTCATTACACTTCACGGCAAATGTTTTTATTATTTTGTTGAATGCCACAACAAATAAATAAAAACAAAATGCAAATATTAAAATTAAAACAGACTAAAGTTATAGCAATAATATCAGGCTATTACCTTGTTAGGGGAATGTATCGATCAATATCCACATAAAGGCATGAGATGCCATTCATCTGCAGCTGACAAAGTATCCTGTTCCATGTCATATGTCTTTCAACAGTCTTATATGCAAAAAAGTGATCTATCGTTTCAGGTTTTTCACATTGGTGTATAGTCCCATTGGTCACCAAAGATAGCACACCTGGCAACTAATTGCATGATGTCCGCCATTCTTTAAAAAAGTAATTTAGTTAGCCAATAATGAGCAATCAATCAATATATTGGCGGTTAATCCTTTGAAAGAAGGGTGTTGTTTTTACACAGGCACTTTATGACAGGGTGTATTCAGTATAGATTAGTAAATCTACATACATAAACACTACCTTCTGACAAATCCGCTGTGCAGGATAAAAGCAATTAATCAATCAGCATGTTATCAGTTAATCCTTTGATCGATGTTTGTTTTGTAACTCAGCTGATAATTCCTCTTACTGCACTTCCATGCGCATATTACATAAGATGTAATACATTTGCCACATCAGACCTCAATTTATAATGAGTATTTACTCAAGACACAAGAAATGCCAAATGGGAACCTTTGTCGTGGTAATCTGAGTGGTGTTATCACTAATTATTCCTGTTATAAATTCATTAACTGACCATCAAGTGCATGATGACAAATAATGTGTAGGTTTATACCACCTAACACGGGTTACAACAAGGGAGTAGTAATCACTGTATTGCATGCAAGTTTGATTGCCTGAAAAAAACAACTTATGGGCCGACACTGTTTTGAGGATACGAACGGAACTTCATTGTTACATAAGAAATATATATAAGCATTTGCTGTGTACTTAGTTAAAAACTGTATATACCTATGTACCTAAGTAAAATTTCAGATTTATTTTGCAATGGCAAAGTGGGGTTGTAAGTCTATGGATTCAAATGTATCAAATGTGTGTTTTTGATATCATAGCATACGTAATAGACATCATATTTTTACATGATTAAATATTGAGGTAAAAAACACAGAAATAGGATCAAATTTGATCAGTCACTATACCATCCAAACATTTGAAAATCTGGCAAAAGCCAACACTGCTGGGATACTTTATTACAATCAGACAAGAACTACTGGGGATATTTTTAAATAACGGCATCTGATGGGCATCCACCCTACCTAATGTCCCACTGATTAGGTTGAAGAAATTCAGCCAAGGTGGACAGTAGCCCAGTCTCTGTGTTCATCAGGGTCGAGGGAGCAGGGGCTGACCAGTTTGCAGCTAGGTTTCGTAATTAGACTGCTGGCGAGAAATATTAATCGCTCTGGATCAGTGGCCCTTTAATGGCACTGACGACCCAGTCATCTAACTCACCACAGTTTGCTGGACAGGTGTAGCCTTTATGTATGTGGGGACAGTGGGATAGCCTAGTGGTTACAGCTTTTTGCTCGTCACGCCGAAGACCCAGTGTAACAGGCCAAACTCTCCCCCTGGCCAAACCTTTTTTGGGCCTAGGCCAAACTTTATCCCCCTCGGCTTAATCTTCCCCGGGGAAACTTTGGCCTAGGCCAAACATTCCCCACCTTTGAATCAACTTTAAAGCCTACTTGTTTCAAACCTTTGTTCTTATATCAAAAGAGGGAGATTCTGGCCACGCAAAGGCTATTTCTTCCCAAACCTTGTTTTCATGTTTATGTTTGTCTTGAAGAAGTCAGAAACAAAAACAAGACATAGCTATTCATGTGAACACATTGATAAGATATTCATGTATGTCAAGTTCCATTAACAATTTACAGGTCATCTTCTTCTCCATATATAATATGTACATGGTTCCCATTTTGTTTCAATATCCTTATATAAGGTGAGATTAAAAAGAAAAGCCAGCATAAAAGCAAAGATATTATATCATTACTATTATTTATATTATTATTTACTTATTTTTTACTTCAATAATTTACTTATTCCCGCTTACTCCAAATTGGCGTATCTCAAAATCATTACTATATTCGAAACTTTAACTAAATACCCAGTTTTTACTTGGATGTCGCCCATTTCTGGTGGCCCCCGCTGTGATATTGCTGGAATATTGCTAAAAGCGGCGTAAAACTAAACTCAGTCAGTCAGTCAGACTTGGATGTCCATATCCATTCAAAATTTTATTCCCTCACTCATGGCTTTAAATATGGCATGCAGGTTGGCGACATCAACTTAACAGTTGGAAGCAAACGTTAAACACAACAACAACAACAACCCAACACAATATCTATATCAAATGCTGTATCATCTATCATTCCACTATACTGCTTATTCTATTCGACCCGTGAAGGTCCTGGTTAGAATATTGGTCTTCAGTAACCCATGCTTGTCGTAAGAGGCGACTAACGGGATCAGGTGGTTGGGCTTGCTGACTTGGTTGACACATGTCATCGGTTCCCAATTGCGCTGATAGATGCTTATGCTGTTGATCACTGGATTGTCTGGTCCAGACTCGATTATTTACAGACCACCGCCATATATCTTGAATATTGCTGAGTGCAGCATAAAACTCAACTCACTCACTATTCTATATTCAAAAGACAAGGTTTGATAAGGGGCATACTTGGCCCATGGATATCTGAATCATATTTCATTCACCAAAAGTGATTATGGATTAGTAAACAAGCTTATGTGAATAATGTTCCATTACATTTATATGTAAATACAACAAATATTGGATAATAAACAGCATGATAAGAGAGCAAGCAACCTGTGTATATTACATCTTATTTACCCATCAAATGTGCGATTGAATGTTTACTTAACTTCTGCAATGTGTCTTCATAAAAATGTCTCTTGACATAAGAGCAAGGGTGGGGAAGAAGTAGCCTAGGTAGGCCAGAATCTTCCCCTTTTGATATAAAAACAAGTGTTGGAAAGAAGAAGTAGCTGATATCTTTAGACATTTACTCCCACATCAAGCTGACATGCTCTGATATGTAACTGAAATACATTTGAAAGTAGCATTAAACCCAACTCAGTTACACACTGCGTGTAGAGTTTACCATCTGTTTCATTGATATGTATTGTTGTGTGACAATTATTCTCCATGCAGGGATATTACAGAAAAGTATGGCAGGGATTTACCTTAAGTCCTGTATTTGAGGGTCCCTGGGACTCATACTCTTAATTTTCAGGGGGTCCTGGACAACAAAATGGGGATCAGACACTTAAATATTATTATTAATACTGTTATATGTATTGGGTATCATGATCATCACATTAATTGTTACAGTAATTAAATTGCAAACGATACCATAACCCAGATAGCAGAAAACTCAGAGATAACTTATTGTTACTTGATTGGAATTTTTACAAAAAGTATTTGGACTTTTTCTGAGTCCCTGTGGACGCGCTAATACATTTTGTTGCGTCCATTGTCAATTTTTATGCGTATAGGATGCAGGAATTCGCGTCCTGTAAATCCCTGGTATGGCAGTTACTATGTCCCCACCTCACAGAGCAGTTCGAGCACTATATCATGTGTCATTCTATGTTAAAACCTACAATCAAGTTTGTATTTGTGTAGTTTAACAGTACATTTGTACATGTATATTTGTTGAACCCTGCTTCTCAGACTAAAGTAATTATTTTGCAAATTATTTTTCAGATACACCATTGGTAAACAAACAAAGTTCTAAAATGTGCCAAGCTTTAGAGTCTTTGCTTGGACAGAATGGATTCAGGATGAACTGGACTCCCAAGTCTTCAGCTTTCATGTTGGGTAGGTGTTGGGGAGACTTTGTAGTATTAGTGGACAAAAACTAGTCACATGTCGCCTCTATACCTCATATGGGTTCGGGCCGGTGAGGTAGCCTAGTGGTTAAAGCGTTGCCTCGTCATGCCGAAGACCCGGGTTTGATTCCCCACATGGGTACAATGTGTGAAGCCCATTTCTGGTGTCCCCTGCCGTGATATTGCTGAAATATTGCTAAAAGCGGCGTAAAACCATACTCACTCACTCATATGGGACCAGTAGTTAGAAGATTGTAGAAGTGCTGGAAAGTTGGTGGCATGGATTCAAGCATTGTTAATACTTCACAGGTTTGTATGCACTTATCACCTGTGAATATACATGTTTGCTTGAGATGTAGTCTAAGCAACTTATCAACAAATGACCTTGTTCAAGTGAGAGTAAAACCAGCAAGTATTGAGAGTGCCCATCATTAAGTCATATCCTGTGTGACAGCCTTGTGGTATATGATCTACATGTAGCTTTAATGTCAGGCAGTGGTGGTACTTCTGTAAATAGTTCAAGACACCGTATAATTCAGCAGATTAAAGCAGACACATGTGGCAGGCCTCATACTGGTCCAGTCTAATGGTGGAACGTAATGTACATAAACGTGATTTATTGCTAAAGAGCTTAGAGTGACAAGGCCCTGACTTGCCTGTCTTCTTCCTCTTGCATGTGTCTCACATTCATGTACTGTCCGTTTGACAAACGATCATTATTTTGTTGTCACTTTGTGCTATTTTTTTACGAGGGGGTTACCACTTGCTGGTAGAACAGCCAGGTAATCAGCAAGAATGTGCAGTGAAATTTCAATTTCACACGTGCAACTCTCACACCTGGCTGTTCTATAAGCAAGTTGTCCTCCCTCGTAAAAATAGCGAAAAATAATGATCGTTTGTTAAACAACTTTTTTATTCGGGTGTCCAAAATTATGAGACAAGTCATCAGAGTTGGTCCGTCAATTTAATGACTGCAAAATTTGATTTTTTTGCAATTATTAGATTTTGTGTCAGTGAGCAATTCATTGGTCTCAAATGAAATCAAATGGACTGTAGGTCTGATTGTTCAAAGATTGTTTAATTTATGCTTAACTCTATTTCTTAAACCTTCCTCGTGTGTCACAATCGCAACTTTTGACTTGACTAAGACAAGATCTGCACAGCAGTGTGTCTTGTTCCCCATGATTGCGCAGATCGATGCTCATGCTGTTGATAACTGGATTGTCTGGTCAAGACTCGATTATTTACAGACCGCCACCATATAGCTGGAATATTGCTGGGTGTGGCGCATAACTAAACTCACTTGTTCCCCGTGAAGCTGTAGCCTTAGACATCAGACAAGCGGCTGTGACAGTTGGAGGAAGAATTGTGCCATTGATTTGAAGTAGTTGTAGTTCTAGCTGGAGCTGCCTACCCAAACCTCATCACTGAAATATACATGTGGTAACCAGGTACTCTGAGCCAGGGCATCTACACCATGATTGGGACTTATAAGGGTTAGTCACTGCGACCAATCTTCGAATCTCCATGTATTCAGGCCAGGGCATCTAGGGAGGTATGATATCAATGTAAAACATCTGATGTTAATGACATTGCCCGACAACTTGACCAGATGCTCATGCTGTAGCATGTTGTTTTACCTCGATGACATGCTTCATTGTTCGGGGAAAAATGTGGTATAAAACCATATTTACTCACTCATTGTTCATAATATTAATCACTGTATTGTCTGGTCTAGACTTGATTATTTATAGGTCAGCATCATATAATTGCAGCTGGAATATTGCCAAGTTCAACATTAAACAACAAATACAAACAAACAAAAATGTTTGCCAGTTGATGGGAGGTTTTGTGTAAAACTACTCCCTTGTCTATCCAAATGACTAAACATTCACATCCCACATCTTATCAATTTTGATAAATAAACTGGTGAAACATTTCACAAATTGCAGTCATTTTGCCATCTGATATTACTTTGATGTTGATGTAAAATTGAATGTTCCAGACATTGTTGTCTATGTGAAGGATGGGAGGCCGGTTGAAGTACAGGAGGAGGAGGTGGACTGTGACAAGAGGTGAGTGACACACCTGGTGAAGCATCTCATGTGTGTTTGTGTGATGGTGTTCACCTCTCCTATATAGTCCCTGGAGGTGCCATAATCTGCCTGGTTAGAACTATTCCACCTGCTGGCTGGTGCACAGAGAAATTCATTCAGTAGTTGTATCTGGTTACCTGCTCAGGCTAAATGCTCAGTGGTGCACCTGATCACTGTTTAGTTCCTGGTGGTCCTGCCTGGTTAGATGTGAGATGTGAGACCACCTGCTGGCTGGTGCACCTCTCCTTCATAGTCCCTGGTGATCCTGCCTGGTTAGATGTGAGAAGACCACCTGCTGGCTGGGTGCACCTCTCCTTCATAGTCCCTGGTGGTGCCTGGTTAGATGTGAGAAGACCACCTGCTGGCTGGGTGCACCTCTCCTTCATAGTCCCTGGTGGTGCCTGGTTAGATGTGAGAAGACCACCTGCTGGCTGGGTGCACCTCTCCTATATAGTCACTGGTGGTGCCTGGTTAGATGTGAGAAGACCACCTGCTGGCTGGGTGCACCTCTCCTTCATAGTCTCTGGTGATCCTGCCTGGTTAGATGTGAGAAGACCACCTGCTGGCTGGGTGCACCTCTCCATTCCTGGTGGTCCCTGTGGTGCCTGGTTAGATGTGAGAAGACCACCTGCTGGCTGGGTGCACCTCTCCTTCATAGTCCCTGGTGGTGGTGCCTGGTTAGATGTGAGAAGACCACCTGCTGGCTGGGTGCACCTCTCCTTCATAGTCCCTGGTGGTGCCTGGTTAGATGTGAGAAGACCACCTGCTGGCTGGGTGCACCTCCTCCTTCATAGTCCCTGGTGGTGCCTGGTTAGATGTGAGAAGACCACCTGCTGGCTGGGTGCACCTCTCCTATATAGTCCCTGGTGGTGCCTGGTGATCCTGCCTGGTTAGATGTGAGAAGACCACCTGCAGGCTGGGTGCACCTCTCCTTCATAGTCTCTGGTGATCCTGCCTGGTTAGATGTGAGAAGACCACCTGCAGGCTGGGTGCACCTCTCCTTCATAGTCCCTGGTGGTGCCTGGTGATCCTGCCTGGATAGATGTGAGAAGACCACCTGCAGGCTGGGTGCACCTCTCCTTCATAGTCCCGTGTGGTGCCTGGTTAGATGTGAGAAGACCACCTGCTGGCTGGGTGCACCTCTCCTTCATAGTCCCTGGTGGTGCCTGGTTAGATGTGAGAAGACCACCTGCTGGCTGGGTGCACCTCTCCTTCATAGTCCCTGGTGGTGCCTGGTTAGATGTGAGAAGACCACCTGCTGGCTGGGTGCACCTCTCCTTCATAGTCCCTGGTGGTGCCTGGTGATCCTGCCTGGTTAGATGTGAGAAGACCACCTGCTGGCTGGGTGCACCTCTCCTTCATAGTCCCTGGTGGTGCCTGGTGATCCTGCCTGGTTAGATGTGAGAAGACCACCTGCTGGCTGGGTGCACCTCTCCTTCATAGTCCCTGGTGATCCTGCCTGGTTAGATGTGAGAAGACCACCTGCTGGCTGGGTGCACCTCTCCTTCATAGTCCCTGGTGATCCTGCCTGGTTAGATGTGAGAAGACCACCTGCTGGCTGGGTGCACCTCTCCTTCATAGTCCCTGGTGGTGCCTGGTTCCTGATGATGTGAGAAGACCACCTGCTGGCTGGGTGCACCTCTCCTTCATAGTCACTGGTGGTGCCTGGTTAGATGTGAGAAGACCACCTGCTGGCTGGGTGCACCTCTCCTTCATAGTCCCTGTGTGGTGCCTGGTTAGATGTGAGAAGACCACCTGCTGGCTGGGTGCACCTCTCCTTCATAGTCACTGGTGGTGCCTGGTTAGATGTGAGAAGACCACCTGCTGGCTGGGTGCACCTCTCCTTCATAGTCCCGTGTGGTGCCTGGTTAGATGTGAGAAGACCACCTGCTGGCTGGGTGCACCTCTCCTTCATAGTCCCTGGTGGTGCCTGGTTAGATGTGAGAAGACCACCTGCTGGCTGGGTGCACCTCCTCCCTTCCCTGGTAGTCCCTGGTGATGCCTGGTTAGATGTGAGAAGACCACCTGCTGGCTGGGTGCACCTCTCCCTTCATAGTCCCTGGTGGTGCCTGGTTAGATGTGAGAAGACCACCTGCTGGCTGGGTGCACCTCTCCTTCATAGTCCCTGGTGGTGCCTGGTTAGATGTGAGAAGACCACCTGCTGGCTGGGTGCACCTCTCCTTCATAGTCTCTGGTGATCCTGCCTGGTTAGATGTGAGAAGACCACCTGCTGGCTGGGTGCACCTCTCCTTCATAGTCCCTGGTGGTGCCTGGTTAGATGTGAGAAGACCACCTGCTGGCTGGGTGCACCTCTCCTATATAGTCCCTGGTGGTGCCTGGTTAGATGTGAGAAGACCACCTGCTGGCTGGGTGCACCTCTCCTTCATAGTCTCTGGTGATCCTGCCTGGTTAGATGTGAGAAGACCACCTGCTGGCTGGGTGCACCTCTCCTTCATAGTCCCTGGTGGTGCCTGGTTAGATGTGAGAAGACCACCTGCTGGCTGGGTGCACCTCTCCTTCATAGTCCCTGGTGGTGCCTGCCTGGTTAGATGTGAGAAGACCACCTGCTGGCTGGGTGCACCTCTCCTTCATAGTCTCTGGTGATCCTGCCTAGTTAGATGTGAGAAGACCACCTGCTGGCTGGGTGCACCTCTCCTTCATAGTCCCGTGTGGTGCCTGGTTAGATGTGGGAAGACCACCTGCTGGCTGGGTGCACCTCTCCTTCATAGTCCCGTGTGGTGCCTGGTTAGATGTGAGAAGACCACCTGCTGGCTGGGTGCACCTCTCCTTCCTTTGGCTTCGGGTTCAGACGCCTTGGCTATCCCAGAGGGGGAGGGTTCGCTCCCAGTCCCCCTCTCGGTGCTGGCGCAGGGTCCGTTGAGGATTCCTGGGGTTCCGGTCCCTGCGCCACCCGGCCCCATGAGAGCGGAGGAGCCGGTTCTGTTCGAGTTTCCTCCCGTGTCTCGTGACCGGGGTTCGAGTATAGTGTCGGTTGCCGGAGCTGAGAGTCTATGGAGGTTGGGGAGGTCGAGGAGTCGGAGGGTACTTTCCGCTTTTCATCGGCTCTCCGGGAGGTTAGGCAACGTATTGACGAGTATATTCCCCAAGCCGTGGTGCCGACATGTCGCTCGGACTCGACTGAGTAAGGCGTTTGCCCTTAGGCAACCCTCTCAGACACAGCTCCGTATCTTGCCTTCCCTGGTGCAGGACGTGATGGATCCCCTCCTGGTTGGTTCTTGCCTACGGTTTGATCGACCTGAACTTGTTAAGGGATATCAGCTGGGGGATGATTCTCTGTTCTTTGTGTAGGTGGTTGACGAGTGTGTGGTTACTTCAGTCGCCCTAGCGGGAGGCTTGGCTTCCTCAGGTGCAACCCAGGCTGCCAAGCAAGGGCAGTTAGTACCACTGTTTGCCCTAGCGGGTGCCCCCCTACAGCAAGCATACCGACTTACAAGGAAGTCTACCGGAATGCCATGCAGCAGGTGCGGGTCGTGGTCCACGAAGCATACCTTTCCTCGATCCAAAGGTCGGCTCTGGAGGCTGAAGGGAGCACTGGGGACGTTTCCCCGAATGTTGTTCTGCTCCGCCAATTATCCGAAGTACAGGCCCACCTGACGCGAGACTCTTTACGGTCTGCCGCATCTACGGTGATGTGCGCAGTCATGGGGATGCGAAAGCGGTGGCTGTTTACATCCCGTTTTCGGCAGCAACACAGCAGACGTTGTTTCCGGGGGCACAGCCGGTCATTCGGGCGGCTGCTGCTGCAGCAGCTACCTCCTTCAAGGACTCTAAGGCCTTGTTGGAGCAACCGCGGGCTTCTTGCTCCCGCGCTCCCGTAGTAGGTTCTTCCTCCGGGGCGCAGCCTACGCCCGAGTCTGACGGCTGGCTTCAGCCGCTGGGTAGTGGCAGGAGGAGGAGGAGCCGTCCCGCCACAGGTAAGGGCAAGGAGCAGGCGTCTTCGTCTGGCTCCCAGCAGCCGTTGCGCGGTCGCAGGGGGTCTGCCCCGACCTCCCGTTAAACCTGCAGGCTGTCGCCGTGGGTCCGTCCCAGCCAGATCATCTGCAGGGGACCACTCACACACTCTTACCACACGTCCCAGTGGGAGGCCGCCTCTCTCTATTCCTGCCGGAGTGGGAGAAGGCTACCAGCAACACTTGGGTGCTATCCACCGTCAGTGTCGGCCATCTACCACTGTAGAAGCGAGGCCACCAGAGTTCACCGGCATACGTTGCACTCCGGTGCTGTCATGTCCGGTAAAGGCGGGTATATTGCGAGACCAAGTTCAGGCTTTGCTGGACAAGTCCGCAATAGAGCGCATACCATCGGGCGAGGAACAGGCGGGGTTTTATTCCACGTACTTCCTCGTTCCGAAGAAGGACGGTGGGTTCCGTCCCTTCTCAACCTCAAGGGGTTGAATCGTATGTTAGAGGTTCCATCCTTCAAGTTGGAGACACTTCGTTCAGTGGTCTCCTCTGTTCAGCCCAGCGATTGGCTTATGTCAATCGACCTAAAGGATGCGTATCTACATGTGACAATTCATCCATCATTCAAGCAGTACCTCCGGTTCTCTTACGACGGGATGTATTACCAATTCACGGTGCTCCCCTTTGGCATATCCACTGCCCCCAGGGTGTTCACCAAGCTCATGTTAGTGCCGGCTACCCTTGCAAGGTCGCAAGGAAGGCGTTGTTACCCTTACCCTCTAACTCAGCCAGCGAGCCTAGATTCTACCCACACCGTGATAGACATTCGAGCTCGACTTGAGTGGATCATAAACCTCAAGAAATCCGACCTGGTACCCACCCAGGACTTGGTTTTTCTCGGGACGCGGTTCACAACTCACAAGGGTCTTGTCTCTTTGTCGCCCGACTGGGTCACCAGAGTTCGGGAGATGGTGTCTTCGTTCCTCTCCCAGCCCCAGGCACCAGCTTGGACTTGGCTCCATCTACTGGGTCATATGGCGGCAACTATCTCTGTAGTGTGGCAGGCACGGTTGAGGATGCGCCCTATACAGCAAGCTTTGGCGAGTCTGTGGGCTCACTCGGAGGATCTGGAGAAGTGTCTCACAGTCCCTGGGTGGTTGTCTTCTCACCTTCAGTGGTGGACCAATGTCGGGAATCTCTCCAAGGGGGTCTTACAGTTCAAACCGATGCGTCCCTCACGGGCGCGCGTGTGTGTGTGTGTGTGTGTGTGTGTGTGTGTGTGTGTGTGTGCGTGCGTGTGCGTGCGTGTGTGTGCGTGTGTGCATGTGTGTGCATGTGTGTGTTCTGGGCAGTCTGTCAGTGTCCGAACTCTGGTCCGAAGCCGAAGCCCGCCTTCACATCAACGTCTTGAGAGCTGTGCGGTTGGTGTTCGAACGCTTCCGGGATCATGTTCAGGGCCAGGTGGTTCGTCTTCAGTTGGACAACCGTACGGCCATGACATACATCCTGAAGCAAGGCGGCACGGTGTCCCTAGCGCTCCTTCGGGAGACGTGGGAATTTCTCCTCTGGTTGGACCGTCCGGTAATTCCTGTTTATTTCCTGGGGCTGGAGAACGTGCAAGCAGACACTCTCGTTCCCCGGATCCTGGCCCCGCACGAGTGGATGCTCGACCGGCAGATATTCGGAGTTATCTCCCAGTTGTACGGATCGTTCCAGGTGGATCTATTTGCGTCCGGCGGGACAAATCTGATACCTGTGTTCTGCTCTCGACTACCGGACCAGAGGGCGTTAGTATCCGACGCCTTCCTGCTGGATTGGACGGGCAAGGTGCTGTGGGCGTTTCCGCCTCTACCACTCATTCCCCGGGTCCTCTCCCAGCCAGCTCGGCTACTTGTGCTACTGGCACCGCTATGGCTGTCACAGAGCTGGTTTCCGGTAATTCTCAGTTTTCTGGCTCAGCCAGTGCTCCAGATAAGGGCCGTATCGGCGTATGTACGGACAATAAATATGCACGATACGGTAGGAAATAATTTAGAAAACGTAGCAGATATGCACCACGGCAATGGTCTACGGTCTTAGAATCATCTACAGACGTATTTATCTGAAAAAGTATTGTTTTATTGTTTATTGACCTGTTTACACCTGAGTAGCAATGTTGTGGTGTATATACATGTATTAAACGAAACACAAGATTACTGATACGCCGTTAAATTCCATTCAGTACTCTAAATGTACTCTTTAAGGTTTTCCAGTACTCCTATATTGAATAAAATAAGGAGTACGCACTCCTGATGTTGAAAAATTATCTGGAGCCCTTTGTTCCATTACCTTTGCGACCGGACATTCTCACTCTGAACGGCACGCCATACCCCAATCCAAGGATTCAGTGGGTGGCTTGGCCTCTGTCAGGTCTAGCCTCGAAGCACGCGGTTGCAGACACAATTTTGGCTTCGAGGCGGGATTCGACAAACGTTCAATATGAGGATAGTGGTCCCGCTATACGCGCTGGTGTTCAGATAGGGGGATTGCAGATCCGTTTTCTGCGGATTTAGTCCGAGTATTGGAGTTTCTGCAAGCTCGTTTGGAAGAACCCTCAAGGTCTATATCAAACGAACACAAGGGATCGGTACGGGTAGCCATCTGTTCTGCTGTTACGGTGACGGGAAGGCTGGCATGCTGGCTAGCAAATAGACCCTATCACGCTGGCTTGTATCGGTCATTTGTGCTGCGTATCAGGCTAAGGGCTAGCCTTCCCCTAAGGGGTTGAAGGCTCACTCAGTCAGGGCAGTGGCCACTTCAAAGGCTTTTGCATCGGCACTGCCCATTGAAGAGATATGCTCTGCCGCTATTTGGAGGAGGCCTAGCACTTTTATCAGGCACTATCAGCTCCATACACATTCTCGTGATCATGCGCGTTTTGGCCGTTCTGTTCTCTCCAGTGCACAGTGTCCTGCCACCCTGACCGAGTGAGTCTTGGTTATCTGGACAGTTGACGCTTTCAATTGTGTATAATTGATATATCCGCTGTTATCATATCTAACTACTTTCTATTTCTCTCATGAGATTATAGTCGGTTGTGAGTTGGTTTTCCCTCTTACGGTGCTCTTATAATAGATTCACGATGTGGGCGGGGTTTTTTACTTTCACACTGTGTGCGTATTGCTTTGCTTAACCTGTGAGGTCGGGTCTCAGTACTTCCCTCCCTGTCGGTTACCCTCCCATCATGCCTCTCGCGGAAGCTTGGTGAGTGTTGTGGCGTCTGTTACATTCTACCTAACGATCGCTCTTTATGTGTACTTTGACAGAATTCCCTCCTCCCTAGCCTCCGGTCTTTGGGAGTCTGAGTTCATGCATATGTGTACCCCAAGGACAATCTCTATGAAACAGAATAAGCTAAACCTGTAGAGGTTTCCAATTCTTTGAAGAGAATCGTCCTTGTGGTAGGGCCACCCAACTCCCTGCAATTCTGTTCACTGATTTATTCAGCAGAAGGAATGATTTTTAGGTGCTTACCTGGTGGATGCGCATGTAGCAATAACTCCATTTTTGGGGCGATTAAAATTTATTGTACAATATTTTTATTAAAACATTGATTCAACTGTCACATGACATTTTCAGCAGCAGAAAATGCATATATGTACCCCAAGGACGATTCTCTTCAAAGAATTGGAAACCTCTACAGGTTTAGCTAATTCTTTGTTGCAGACTGGTGTTGTTGATAAGGCGACCAGAGCACTACCGGATCAGGCATAACTCACAGCCTCGTCTGCTGGGGAAGTATGTGATGATGAAGAGACACCTGTTAAGAAGTGGATACTCTGTGTTGGAGGTAAGAAGCACAGGGACAGTATCAAGCAATATATAGAAATATCTATGTACTATTGTGATATATCTCAGTATTTGTGTTGGAGATATACGACGATTGTAATTAGAATAGATCCAGATGATTGTGGGGTTATGTGTGCAATTTTACTAATTGTCCCCCTGTGATGTGGACAGGTACTCTTGCTATGAACCATTGGTTTTCCTGACTACCACTAGGGGTGGTCCCCTCGTCATGCCCGAAGGCCCCGTTCGATTCCCCCACATGGGCACATTGTGTGAAGCCCATTTCTGGTGTACCCCGCCGTCTGGAATATTGCTAAAAGCAGAGTAAAACCCAACTCACTCACCATTACCACTAATGACAGGCTGCTGGGAATGGTGTGGACAGGATTGTATAACTGATGTTATCACCTGGCATATGCTGTTCAGTGATAATTGATACAGACAGACAACAAGAAAGACCAATTTCCTCTATTTTGATTCCTTTGTACCATGTTATAACAGAAATTAACCAAAAATAAGAGCATTTGCTGATAGTTTCACAAAAGTGCATGTTGCTGGTACAGTGAACGTTATTCACACCTATTGAGACACAATATGGAAAAGATGCAGTAATACCTGGCTATCATAGAGCATCTATTTGACTGTTTTCTCTGTATTAGGTGTCTGGTGAAGCAGTTGACAGCAACAAAGACTTGATGGAGTACTTCCAAAGACTGCTGCAGCCATACATCGCCTTCTCAGAGGAATAAGGAGAAACTGGGCCTACTATATTCAGTGAATGAGGAGACAGTGAAATTTCAGTCAAATGAGTGAGCATAGTATGCATTTACATCATCTAAAACAAAGAATAAGTTTTCAATTGACTAAATTTTGATCAAGGGAAACTTCCTGTTTTGTTGTCATTTTGAAATTTTAAAGATGCTTGTTAGGGCAGATGTCAGAAATATATGGTTGACATCAGAAGTATATTGAGCTATATGTAATGCAACCGAGGCTTTCATTAAATAATTAAAAGCCAGAGGCTAGACACAAATAGTCTGCAGACTTTCATTAAATAAGTGACACATTTCTGGACATGTTCACAGTTTCACAGAAGAAGAACTATTTGTTTAAATGAGATTGTCATATATCTATATGACTGATATGACTGTGTTTTTGTGTATCAAATGACTCTTTGCGATATGTGAGACACGCCAAGCTTGCTTCGCTACCTGATTTCCGTGACAAGCGTGATTCAAGGACCAGTTCTGGTTCCAAATTGAGCAACCGCCAAATATGTCTTTACTAGACCAGACGGTACAACCATGCTTGTGTCAACCATGCTTGACTGGGGATAGTTAGATCGAGCTGTTGGATTATCTTCAAAACTGGGGATAGTTAGATCGAAACATTGTTTGTCACTGGAAGTACTAAGGTCTCGCGAAGTGTCATGACCTAATTGCTATAACATCCATGGATTGAAATGTCTGACCTTTTTAGTTTTATCTGTTAAACCATTTTGAAAGAGCAGTAGAAGGTTAATGAACAGTTTGATGTCAGTTTTTCCACTCCTAATGCACCTAGAACTTCTGTCTTCTGAGTTGAAATATTACAGAACACACATCAGCATTAATTGTTTATTATTCACATATGTAACAAGTATGTCATGCACATATATCAACAGTTTTGTCATTTTCAAACATGATCCGGATGTCATACAGGAACCATATTTGTTTTACAAATACACCACTCCAAAAGCAAGGCTAACTTTAACTAATAAATATAAATAATATAATGTAGTATCCATTAACTCTATAACCGAAGTGAGAAACAGATGCATTTCTACAATAAACTTGTGAAGGGAGTTATCTCCCATCTGACAAAACGTATAAAAAGGTATTTTATCAAGGCAGATGTGATTCAGATTGAGAAAATAACACAACTAAGAAATTAAATAACTTTTATATTTAGCACTGGTAATTCCGAATTACCTGTAAGTAGTTTGAAAGACAGGATTGAATCTGAATATTGGTTTGAATGGAAACAATGTGAAACCTACTCTCCATGACTGCAGAAGATATTCAGATTTAAAGGTCACAGACAGGGTAATAGTAAGACACGTTTCAGATTCCAGCACTTATTGTTCATCAAGCACTAAAATATCTCTCCAGCTCTCAACATTGTAAATGCATGTCTCCTTACCTTCCTTGGCATATAATTTATGTTGTATGGATCATTATTGTGTTTACTGAAAACTAACAATTCAGTACTGGGTAATTTTGTTAATTCCTAATCATTTCTTGAACTTGACAAAACAAAATAAATTAGCATTCTTATAAGTCAGCTTTCAAATTAATGTATTTTCGATATATCTTTTTTGAGCTAACTGAAAACTTACCCTACAGTATTGGTATATTTTTCTTATTCTTGAATCATTTCAGGTCAAAGTATTTCTTTGCATCACATGCATGTCAATACCTACATTGTTCTTACATTCAGATGACCTCTGTTGAATGTTCCCGGAAGTGGGGCATTATTTCAAAGGTATGTCACTGATAGCATGTGAGGTGAACCTCAAACACAATACGAAGCACCCAATGTTGGTTCACAGAGAAATTGCACAAGTTTGAGTTAAGCGGGTGAGATTTATCGGAGCGGGGTGGACATTCCTGCCAGAGTGGAGTCCTCTTCCCTCTCCTGAGCATGTTGTTTCAGTTCCTGGAGTGTTCGTACAAAGCGTGACCATTCGTCAGACTTCGGGTTAGCTATATGCTGTAAAAGGATGGAGCGTTATTATTCTTCAACATTTAATAATATCTAATAACAAACCAGTATCTCAAATGTTTCTTAAACTTTAGTTATGTGGTGGTCAATACATAAAATTTCAAACTCACTAGGAGGCACTGCGACAAAGAACTAAGGCAGGACTATAAGATTTTGTAATAGTGCTACATACCTCCCCAACATCGAAAATGGATATTTTGCCGAGGTCATCTCCAACCCCGATATGGTGGCCACTCTGGTGCCACTTCAGCTGGTTCAGGGCCACATTATCAACCACAACGGATGCTGTCGGCACCTGCAACACAAACAGACAATTAACATACATAACAATGCAGGGTACAAGTATAGTCTCGTAACATGCTCCTTTTACTTCCAGGTATCGTCCCGCCATATAGCTGGAATATTGCTGAGTGCGGTGTAAAACTAAACTAAACCTCCAGGTATTGTCTTGAATCAAAATTTAAATTATGGCACAATGTATTGTCATGCATTGAACTGTTAAATCATTACACACCTTGTCTTTAAAGTAAACCGATCCTGAGCAAGAGCTGTCCTATCATAATAGATGTCAATACCTTTATTATCCATGACAGTTATTATTGAAAGCAGAATCTAATGTAATTCCCCCTAAAATGACATTGGATTTCAAAACTATAGAAACTGTTTTCCCTTAAGACTTACTTCTGTCTCATTGTTGAGATGCCAGAGATCAAGTCTACCCATCCCATCTACACTGGCGAAAAGAGCAGGGTGGATGGGAGACCACTGTACTCCGTACACATAGTCACTGTTGTCCTCGAAGGAGTGGATGAACTTCTGGTCCTGTACGCCAAGGCAAGGAATAGATTAATACTGAGTGAATAATGATACTATCAGTTTATAGTGAATGAATAATTTTTAACACTGCATCAGTAATCTTGCAGCTATTGTGTAACACAAAAATCTTTGAAAGCTATTCCAGTTAAAAAAAAAATGCTCACAATTTTGGTGAATTTGTAATGACTGACCTTTATACTCCATAACTTGATGGTCCAGTCGAAAGATGATGTGATGAAGTACGGAGAGAAGTCAATCTGTCCTGGAACCGAGTGACAGTCAATGCTGGTAATAGGGCCCTGGTGGCCCTCGAACGCCTCATTGATCCCAGCTTTTCTGTAGAGAGCAAAATTAGTAAATAGTGTTTACCTTCAACACAAGAAACAAAGTGAAACTTCAAATTTATTTGCATGTACTCTAGAGATTCTACTTTCAAAAACATCAAATGTTCACAAACTTCAATCATGCCAATCACACATGCCATAACATACAATGCCTTAAACATTAATCCTGATCCAACATCCATCATGGTAAACACTGTTACAATACCCCAAATTTAAGAGTAACTGTCAGAGATCACTTTATTATCACCTGAGGCCATGCCAAGGAATGATGAGGTGATGCCCACCAAGTAGTCTTGCCAAGGGAGGTAACCCTAGTGTTACTACCTGACAAAATTTAATATTACCCACTTGTTTTAAAGTGTACACAACTGCAGTATATTTCTTGAGAAATCAGAATTTTATGGCCTACATCTGCTACTCACGTTCCATGTCTACATGCAGTGTAAACGGTGCAATCTTCAGCCCCTACAACAAAGTTGTTGACGTCACATGACAGGAAGCAGAACGAAGTAACGGCCACAGACTTGCTCTGTTTATGTTGCAACTCCATGCTGTCCTGTAAACAGATGCACCCCACTTAAAAAATAGATCACAAAGACAATTCCCTTAGGGGCAGATTTAACATAGAAAATAATCAAGTACAATAAGAATGAAAATTGTTTATCTGAAAAATGCAGTCTACAGTCTTCACAATTTAAGATGTGAGGTACTGCTGAACAGATATAATATTTGAAAACCTGAGATAAAAGAAATGAAGGTGAAATGGGATTTAAGATTATTTTCAATGGTGACATGCTTGGATGTGTGTGGCTGCTTGTGCAAGTCCAGACTTATGTTGTGTTCTAGAGACATCATTAAATCTATTGCCAATAGGATGAAGCATAAAATCACAGTAGCTACTCTGAGGGCTTACAAAGACTTTACCTGTGGTTGTGAGAGCATGTCGAGACTCCAAGAGCACATCTTGCCATCAGTGGACACACTGATGAGATTGTGGGCATTCTGGGTGCCTACCACATTCACACAGTACACTGGGTGCTGCAACAGAATAAACTTGTTACAGTGCATTAAATGACTATTTAAAACAAATTTTCAGTAGAGGGAAATGATTAAATCAAATATAGTCTTTAATTTCATTTAGATTGGAAGTTGTTCTAACAGTTTGCCACATGACCTCTCAGAACTGTCTCCATTATTTTGTTCACACAAGGGTGGCAGGACAAAAGTCCACACCATGTCTGATATATTAGTATTATTACAGAGTTTAGCAATTGAATGTTACTGAATGGCACAGTCAGAAAGATACTAGTGATACCATGGTGTCCTGTAGAAGAGCAAGGCTGGACCAGATAAGCCAGTAACAGAGTAATGATACAAGCCAACCATGGCATGATTGCATACAATTACTGATCAGTTACGTCACTGAATCTGATCATCAATTCGACAAATTGGCACAAATGCTGGGACAGTTCTTCTTATGCAGTAATACTTCAGACAGGGTGTCCTATGTAATGTATGGACTCTTGACTCAGCAGTCCCACAGAATAAGTACCTTACATCTAGATTCACCTACCGTGTGGGCTGCAGCAGACAGGGGTGTCCGCTGCACTGGGGTCCTCTTGTTGACTCGGTTGTCCCACAGGACAATCTGACCAGAATATGTACCCCCTACAACTAGATTTGGGTGGAATTTGGCAAAACAGCTGGACATGACTGGTGACTGAAACAGAAAATGTTTAGTGTTACCACTAACACACATTAAAAATAAACATGATCTTGGGACTTTTAGATAATGGCACAGACAGTTATATCAGACTGACTGACTGAGTTTGGTTTTTACGCCGCTTTTAGCAATATTCCAGCTACATCACGGCGGGGGAACACCAGAAATGGGCTTCACACATTGTACCCATGTGTGGATTCGAACCCGGGTCTTCGACGTGACGAGCCAACGCTTTAACCACTAGGCTACCCCACCGCCCCTTATATCAGACACATGTTATTAATGATAAAACAGAACAAGAGACCAGATCATGTTACCTACCTGGCAATGGAAGACATATTCCGGAGAGTCCTTCTTAAACTTCATGTTCCAGATAAGAGCAACTCCATCTGGGTCATGAGGTGAGTCCTCATTTGTATTGTATGAAGCCACCAGGAGTTCTGGGTGCTGAGTGGACCAGTCCAGACTGGTGATGGTCCGGTGCTTAGACCAGCGCTCATCATAGAAGTCTCTGTTCAGCTTTAACCTCTCTCCTGCTAGAGCATCACTAGAAAGGAACAGACACACGCCTACTGATTCATTCTATTCATAGAGATCAAGGAAGATCACTGGTTTAAAACACAGATCAAGGAAGGAAGTTTTGTCAGCCTCATGAACTTATTTAACAAGTCAAAGTTCATAATCAGACATGTAAAAGTTTCTTACCTACTTAGACCTAAATCAGATGAACTATTCACATACTAACATGCTGGCAGCTTTCCTTGTTCCAGCAATACCTTACTCATCATACGCCAACACAATCGTTAAAGAGTTTGCATTTAAAGTTGAGCAGAAAATGATATATAACAGCAATAGTTGAACCTACTCTTCATTGCCTTCCCTGTCTCCACCAGAATAGTCCATGAAGATGTCAGTATCTTCAGCCATAGCTCGCTCGATGACCCGAGCCGACTTGAAGAAGAATGTCTGAAAGTCATCACTCAGCATGATGCCTTTCTTCTCCTCTTCACTCATCTCACGCACTAAGCAACATACAAATGGGTATACCTGTATGTATGACACAATTTATCAGCTTACACCTCATCCGCCATTTCACTGCTAGGTAAGTATCCATCATGTTTAACCAACAAAAATACTCATCTCGTACAGAAATCCTGCAAAGCATATACACTTTTTAGTAATGACATAACACACTCTATATATAATATCCACAAGTTATTCGTACCTTCCCTTAGCTACCCTTTATTTGTGAAACCTATTTCATTTTATTTTTTTCTGATTGGCTTTCATACACATTTTTCAATCAGACCAACACTAAGTTTTAAAAAGGTAAATGCAGCTACAGTGCTGAGAACCCGAAAGTGAAGAGATTAGCAAAAAGGCCAACAACCAGACAAACACTGTATTTATACGTTTAAGAATAAGAATAAATGTTCATTCCCTCACAATAGGGATGTGTACTTCTCAAACATTTTCTAAACCAACCCTCTCTATGGAGTCATGAATAGCATCTCATACAGACCCCAAGACCTTTTTCTGAATAAAACAACCATCCCAAATTCCAGCCCTTCTCAAATGTATCAGTCACTAATCATTCATTACTCAGCTCTATGAAATTAGGAGACATAAGAGTTCCTTCATACCTCAACTTTCATTCATATGACTGTTACTTGGATTACAAAGAAGTATTTCTAAATACCATCAACAAGTATATCATTTTAGTTTCCACTGAATGAGTACGATTTTACATTACATTAGTCCAACCTACCAGGGCCTAGATTTTCAAAGCTCTCTTAGCGCTAAGATAGTCGTAACTGCCATGCATTAACATAACGACTATCTTAGCGCTAAAAGAGCTTCGAAAATCTAGGCCCAGGTCAGGTGTGTTGGGCATGTGAATCTCTTCTCTCTATCAAACTAACCTGGAATCTTCTCTTCCTTCTTCTCTCCTTCCTGCTGGGTTGGGGCTACCATCTCCACATGAGGCATCCGGTGAGATGGGCCAGTCTCCACACCCACGTCCATGGAGTCGGTGTCCGCCTCATCATCTGATTTTTCGGGTTGTCATAAACAAGAACTATGTGTTAATAATTCCATGAGGCTGCTCTTAGAAATGGCAGGTACAACATTGGCAAAACAGAAGCATTAGCCACAGTTAGTGTAGTTAGCCTTTAGGTGGTTACAAATAAAATGTCACATTTAGCATAACCTTGACTTAGTTAGGAACAATCAGCACATGGTATAAACATGCCACACATATTGCACATTACAACACAACTTCAACAATACATATTATTAAAAAAAACGTTTCAATAATTCCAATCATGAAATAGTTCCATGTCTGAATATTTTTATGTCATATATTTGTAGTATTGTGGTATACAGGTATAGTAAAGGATATATTTAATAACACTCAAGAGATGGTGACATGCAATGAAAGAATCAATATAATACACAAGGAACAACTCTCAGACAAGGAAACATCCACAGTGAGGAAATACCTGCAAACATCAGATTCATGCAAAATGACACAAATCAAGCATCATCAGTTTTCAATTTTGTTTCAACAAACCAATCAACATTTGTAAAAATGACTTACTACACACTTTACACCAAATAATGTACAATAATACATTCAAACATTAATTTCATTTTTAAAAATTCAAAACATTAACAATTTCTTCTTAATAGTACCACTTGTAAAGGCCTTTTGGCTCTGAAAAGCAACATTATGATCATACAATTCCTCCACAACGTGCGCATTGCTGCAATGATTGTGATTTAGAAAAGCCGTTTTAATATATTATCAAATGTCCATTGAAGTGTATGATATTACTTCCTTGCTGCCCTATAAAGGTATCAAGCCCCTACAAATAACAGCACAATGATGTCTTGTTTGATATTTCACATAAATGCGGTCACAGACAACGCCAACACAAATGTGACTATCAACATGATACATCACAAGAACAAGTTTCTACTTCAGATGATAAATTTAACATTAAGCAATGATCAAAATTAATCATGGGATTCTTGTCAGAGCTCTAATGTTTATTATCTGATATTGATGGGGTCCCTAGTTTTAAATACTTTTGGAGCACAAACCAAAGACCCCAGGGCCTTTTTCATTTTCAAATATTGACAAGATTTATGTATGTACCATTCCCAAGATGTATATATTTAATACACTATTCCAGTGATTTATTAAGTATTTTTTTCACAGACACTGCACAGATAAAACATCTACAAGATTCCTTAATTTCCACTGCCTCACCCATTTTACCAGAAAATCCAACAGTTCCAACAGTTCAATGGACATTTCATAATATACATGTACACCAAAGCCCCATCTAACATGCAAATGTGACAGGCTTTCTGGTTCTTCAAACTACACTTGAAACATGCACCATAACAAAGCAGTGGATGGCTGATCTGGTGTCTACTGCCCTGCAATGAGCACTGCTGTATGAAATCTACATCCCGATGCACAAGATGTCCCTTGGCTAGTGGCCCATGGAGAGGAAGGTCCATGCATAGGATCGACAGGATCGTGTTTCAGGATACATGTGGTTTACACAGATTATGTGGATTTCAGAGATATACAACACTTTGAATGTGAATATTGGACAGATCTGTGACATCAACAAATTTCATAAACTCTATTGAAATATACAACGTTTGTCAGTACATGCATAGAAAACCTATTCTGTATAATTTAATTTATTTCACGCTAAATATCGAGTGAATTTGAGTGAACCAACAATTCACATACACTGTTTCCAGGGTCTTCTGTTAGTATCCAGGTGTTTACATTTGGAAATGTCTTCACAATGTTTCCAAAACTAAACCAGACACAGTATGAGATTATTTCTGTCTGTACATCACCATCACCCATTGCCAATCTTGAGGAGAATAAACTACAAGCTTTTCAGCATTCTTGAACCAAAGCATGTGTGAAGATAACATGACATCTGCATATAACAAGAGTAATCTTCAGATTTTGACTGTATGTAATTGAAGAAAAGTCATGTAGATCCATTAATCTTTTCGTGTCAGGACTAAAAGATAAAAATACCTTTCCCATTTTCTCAATCCTGACAAAAACGTCTTAGCTGAACACGTTTCTCAAAATCACAAAACATTCTTGTTCAAAGTTTACAGTTTTAAGGGAAATATGACATGTTTGCAGAGCTTGCAAAAAATCAACTTAAACGTTGATGAAGTACAAGACTATGTGAAATGCTAACTACTGGACAAGTGAGAACATCTGTGAAAGTGAAAAATATCAAACAGACGGCTTCTTATGATCACCAAAACAAGTTGTAACATTCATGAAACGCCCAAAGGTATGCCTGGAATAATATTGCCGGCATACATTGTAACATTCTGCACATAAATGCACCTTCCAGTCTAAACAGTACTTCAACACTACAAATTGGGCAATTGGGGATAATACTTGTGCAAGAAGCCACAAAATAAACCATATACAGAAATATTAAAAATCAAAACACAAAGTACCTTTCCTGTAACCCCTCATGCTCATAATGGAACCAATCCCAACACCTTCAAAAGAATGTTATGGATTGGTCCATTATAACTAACACAGGGGAACTGCTCATGCATAGATCTTTTGTAGCAGCTGACATATGGTATTTGACACTAAGGATAAGCACATCTAGCATGTCTTGCTCTAGAACCTATGTGGGTATTGGAAGCCAGAGACATAAAGACAGTCACAGCAAATAGAGTGTACAGCTAGCACAGCTTGTATGTGACACAGGGTCCAACTTCCCCCCTCTCAGGACAGACAACATGCATGGAAAGGACAGTACCTCAACAATTTCATTTACGGAAAGAAGCGATTACTTGCAATGACATAATATACTTTCTGAGCACCAACTCCAATACAGTTATCAAAAAGACAAACATTTGGACATGTAAAATCATCAAGAACGGAGTGATAATACATGGTAAACATGATAAAGGTATATTGTTTGATAGGCATTTTCACAAGGAGATGGCGGAAGGGAAATATTTGGGGAGAGAACTGCTACGATATACTTTTATATTCACCTATGGGTGCAAGTCTTAGTAAGTCTCAGTAAGTTGTAACAATCAATAACTATTCCTGAAAGCATGTATGTTCCTTCAGTCAACTCTTTTATCATTATGTGTCAAGTCAACTCCATGAATCATATACTTCTTACAATTATTTCCCCTTGTTTGTATTACATATCCTTTCATTAAACTTCATAATTCATTTTCTTCCTAAAGTCAACACTTCAAATTGTTTCCTTCCTAATTCACAGCCAAAAAACTTCAAAAGCCACAACCTAAAACTTGGCTCTCACAATACTTTTCATCAGATTTTAGTGTTATTGTGGGGACATTTTTTTCTGAGCTGACTGGAACAAGCAGAATCTTAAAAACTTAGACTAAAAATGCAGACAACACTTAACTTCAAACACTATTTATTTCTTAGAAGTGAGAGAGTGAGTAGGTTTGTATATCACTTTTAGCAATATCCCAGCAATTTGGAACTCCAGAAATGGGCTTCACATACAGTATACTTCCAAGTGAAAACTGCTTGTATCAAGTGAAAACTATACCTGTACCAATGTATTCTTATGTAGCAAGTTACATGTGATCTTAATATGGTAATGTGTAAGTACGTCTACACCCAAAAGGAATCATTTATTTTATCTGTTTTCCCCCTTAATCTTTGCATCAATACTAGTCTTCAATGATCAACCACTTCATCATTCCCAATCACTATCATTACTTCAATGTTTTTCTTAAACTAAGAGCCTCTTTAAGCTACGACTGTATCTTCCAGCTGACTCTCAAAGAGGCTCTGGAAGTTCCATCTATGGACTCGAGGGAGGGAGGGAAGTTGGACTCACAGAGAACAAGAGACAAAATGGAGCCTGCTGATGTAGCCAGGCTATGACAGGCGTGTTGTCGTGCACAACGTTTACCTTCGTCCTCCTCACTTTCATCCTCATCATCCGTGAACTCGTCATCCCACTCCATATTTGGATACACGAACTTTGGGGACCCATAACGAGGGGAGGACCCTGAACACGTATGGAGGAAATAGCTAACATCACAAAACCCAGAACTATGTCTCTCCTTCAAGTGACTGCACAACAAGTACAAATCTGAAGGTGTCTCTACCATGTCTATTCTTTATCCATACCTTTTTTGTTCGTGTGTTACTACCAACTTCGAGGTATTTATATTTCTTCTGTTGCTTTACAATACATACTGTTTGTATGTAATAATGAAAAATTACCGAATAGAAACATTTACAAATATATTTCTGCCATTCTGTACTCTGAAGCGATTTCTTTTGGAATATTCAATATAGTCTTTCAAGGTTCCAATATGGCAGTTTGCTTACAAATATTGAAAAAAAACATGCAAAGTTCTGTCAAACTATGCATACATTTACAATAATAATACTGGCACACAAAAACTTTAAATAAGAAATACACTTTTACAGAAACAACTGAAGTATACAGGTCCACAGTAGCATCTGGTTACTCAACTCAAACATACCCAGTTTAGGGCTGCATGTGCTTGAATCTGAATCTAGAAAAGGAAAGTAGCAAAAACGTTTGAAATTAATGTGACTGGGTCGTGTGGAGGTTTTTGGTTACTTTAGTGCTGTGACTAGTCAACTGTCTACTGGCGTGGTCTGCATGTTGTGTTAGGACGGGTTAGGGGAAGCTGCACCAGGGTCAGGACCATAACACTTTCTTCCAGAACAAATTAGGAACAAAAATTATTCAGTCCAAGAGGAAAAATGTTTAAGAGAAAGAGATTTAACTAAATATATCAAGATACAAATTTCTTACATTTTTTATTTTATTTAAAAAGCAAACAAACAAAAAAACAGCAACAAAACTGAAAAAAGAGTGATCAACAAATCTGGAAAATAAATAAATGATGATCAGTGAAACCTATTTAAAAACATAAAAGGTAACTTGGTGTCAGAAAGCATTAGTAAGATATTTTACCACACATAAATCTACAACCTGAGATATTGAATAACATCAAAACTAGAGCTTGTACTGTAAATAGAAACTGGGCAAAGTATTATAGAAAAACTATATCAGGATGTCAGATGCTTTTGATAGTTCTATCATCTGAGGAGGACAGGCTGTACATGGCTACCTGCCAACCCTCCCAATAATAAATCTGGAGAATTACTGCACATGAGGACGTTCATGGCTATAACCTCTTTAACATGTTCACACAGTGTGACATACAGCAGAAATAACTGAAAAGTCAACAACAGCTCATACTTTCACATAATGCTCAAACAAAGTTTAAACCAAGAAAAACAAGTACCAAATCTAAGAACTTGTAAATTCAGCAGAAGAAAAGTGGAGCAAATATCAAGTACTTCCACAGAATGGTTGAAGCTTGCTGGTGATGTCATCAATGATGACTTGGGTTATCTCCCTTTTCAAGAGACGCTAGAAGGCATGGACTAACTTACGGTACCTCTATGTGGAAGGTGCATTTATTACTGCAGAAATGTTACAGTAACATACCGACCCCCTTGAATTGCTCATTTTCAACATACATGCAAATTTAGACTTTTTAGATGAAAAGAAAATAATTAAAAAATCCAATAAAAACTTTCACCAAGATTCATAAAAAGCATCTCCCCCAAAATGAAAATCACTTACCGTAGTAGTCCCACGGCCCACGTGCTAGCATTTGCAAATGAACATTGTCAAATATTAGCAGACGCTGATCTCAGATCAACCAAATGGTTTCAAATCTGATATTAAATATTTCCCTCCTTTTTTGAGCCTCCCCATAAAACTTTGATATTAAAGATCAGTCCTGTAAGACTTCATGATTTCATGAGATGAAGTTTGTGTTTAGCAACTCAAGATTTAAACTTAAATAGATCTTCACTTGCAAATAAAAGTGGCAAAATATGAGAAGGTAAACTGCTACTCACAGCAGCAAAATTATGAAAGTAAACTAGCACAAGAAATGTGAATAAGTAACTGCGCCAAAATGTGATAATAAATCTGATCAAAACTTGCTACTATTTCAGATTTCAAATCCAAGAATCCCTTGCAAAGAGGAAATGTCTCTAACAACAGTAATTTGAAATACTGCCATTGTTCTTCCCATTGGTTAAGTTCTTTAAAAATCAGCCTTTTTTCTCAGTAGTAATAGTGAGTTTGTATGCCATTCTCATTCTGACACAAACAGATGTACACTGTTCAAACAAATTTACCTAAAATCAACATAAAATATTTTGAAAATAATCTGAAATATTCAGCACCCTGCCCCCTCACCGGTAACTCCCTGGATATGACACTTTTTGACCATGTTAAAACATATCAGTTCAGTTATTCAGTTGGAGCACAGTTTTGATCAGATAGACAAGTGCGCAACACAACAGTCACAGGAAGTATGTCACACCATGTGACCTGTTTGCCCTACAACAATGTCGACATCAGGGGGAAGACAGCAGCAGACACCAGGCAGCAGTATTATTTCTGGATTATATATGGGGACAAACACCATAACACAATAACCCACAGTATCATATAGTCATAGAAGAAAAACTGAATTTCTATGGCACTTTCTGAAATGTATTCCAGATTCATGACAACCCACACACCTACATTCAGATTCTTTTTTTCTTTCTCAAAAATAATAGTTGTGATGAGCCTTGCTCATCAACATTAGTCATCAACCAGATTAAGATCCACTACCTTAGACTGTCGCACTTATTTCTACAAAACTGTTCAAGCCACACCGTCTTCAAACAATGCCTTTCTTTGGGTGTTGTGTCAGAAACAGGCCCCTTTCATTTCCACAACACTACATGCCACAATGTATGGTCAAGTAATAAGTCTCAAGTGCAAGCATAATGCACTAATAATTATCCATTTCAGGTCTCAGATGAGGACATTGATCCTTATACCACCTACCCTTTGCCCAAATCCTAGGAAATAACATCAGTAGCATGCCATCACTAAAACATGCTTTCATTTATCCTCCAGAAAGAGGACCACAAACTTGTCTTCCATTATTTCTATCATCGACAAATTTAAACAAATCCAATCTACAGTGACACAAGAAGAGGCGTTGGCTGCAGTATCTCTGAATACACCAACCAGCCAGGGTCAAGTCCAACATGTATATTCCCAGGTAGGAAAAGATGGACAACTATAGGATAAACACAAACACATCAGATGGTCAAATCCATGAAATGGATGTAGCAACATGCTCCAACACAATTGCAGGAAGAGGAACACTGTCTGGGATCTTATTGGACACTACCATGTTGTCTCAATAGTGTAATTGCTGCCTGCTGTGTACTGCTGTCCACAACATCCAGATGTGTGATCATAATCGTAACACACTCGGGAATACTCTATTTATTGTTCAAGTTTCTATTTTCTTACATACCCATCAATTGACTATTAGTTGTTCAGCATGAACTGTCACAGTGAGAGAACGAGTAGGGTTTAATGGTGCTTTACCAGTATCCCAGTTCTATTATGATGTGTCAGCTTATTGTGAGAGGAAAGACATTGTGAGGCAGGTATGAAATGTTAACCACTTTGGTGAAACCCATGAACACAGGTGTGGTGCTGACAAACTTAGACATGTATTTGGTTTGAACTGTGATTTGAACCTGCAAAAACAGGTGATGCTATTTTTTACAGAAAACATGGTGCCTTAGACATGTCCTCAGTTAATCATTCACACTATAACTTCTTCTACATGTCTTCTTCAGAACAATTCCAAATATCATTCTATGATGGCCATAATAACGCTGACCGCCAAAGGAACACAAACCACCAGGTACTTAGACATTTTCAAATATAAGACCAAAGTATCAAAGGACATGCATGTATCTATCTTCCACCAGTGATGATGTTACCTAGGCAACAAATACCATTTCCAAGTACTGGCATACAAAAAACAGGAGAATGTATACCATGATCTATCACATACTGTCTTGTTAAGGGTTAGTGTCAGTGTATTAATGTTGTTAGTGTTATTCTGAAACCAAGATGAGTGTTTATGTATAACATAAGATCAATTCAATGTTTAATCAGCATGCAATTTGACCACAAAAATCATCCAACAGAGGAATGTGCATCCACTCAGAAAATAATCTTGCATCATGACAAAGCTATTTCAATGAAAGCCAATACAAAATATGAAAGCACACAAAACAACAACCTTATTTTCAGAAACCCTGAAGGGTTTTTGCTTGTCAATTTAAGAAATGTCAGAATGCAGACAATAAGATTTGATCAACTTGCCATCTCAAAAAGAGTGAGTTTACTTTTTAAAAAGAATTTAGAGTCATCCCTTGATCCATCAGATTTCTAATCTATGTTATTTTGTATAACATATTGGGTACAGTCATAGTAATTGTGATGATTATCATGAGTATAGGGCATCATCTCAAACAAATGTTAGTATGTATTTTCATATAAAATGTTAGAAATATGGACCAAAACCCACCTTGTAAAATTTAGTAATTGAATGTTTGTCATGAATGAAACCAGTTCTTGACAGTTATGTTAAATATATAATTTACTATCCCAAATATTCCAGTACTACCATCCAGTATTAGCTATTCTCATGAGTTCTACTTAAAACAAATGTCATATCCCCAAATAACCATACACAAGACATACTTTAGAATAAAATACACCAGCCTCAAATCCCAAATGGCTGAGAACATGTGCAAACTTCTTTTCAAAGTCAAACCTAAAAATATTCAACGTTGACACCAACATTCTTTGAGGTCGAGCAAATTATATTCGACAGAAAAATCTGCTCCACGATGGATTAAATAATTTCTGGTGATTATTAAATATTTGAATATTTTCTGACTAATAAATATAATATTAAAATTTTAATGAAATATTTCAGTCCTCTATTCAGGACCATAAAGTTAACTGTTGAAATGGCAAATTGTTGACTACAAAATCCATGTAAACAGAAAGAAAGATACTGGCACATGACAGATACAGCCGCTATGCAGTGATGATAGTCTACAATGACAACTAACGCCCTCTGTGGGGACACTAGCGAGTTACTCACTGGCAGGACCTCGACCGCCCTTCAATCCTGACGTCAAACAAACAGGCGGGTATCAATCTCCATTCATTGTTAATCATGTTTACGATATGATTTATCGGTTTGTTCTTTATGCCACACTCAGCAATATTCCAGCTACAGCAATTTGTAATAATTCCAGTCTGGATTAGATAATCCTATGACTGACATCAGAAGCATCAATCTACACAAATGGGATACAATGACATGCATGCACCGAGTTAGCAGCCTCACGACATGATCTATTTAATCGTTTCTTAGGACAAGTATTCTTACCCAGAATCCACATTACATAATGGTCATGTTCAATATGATGATGTTTTGAAGGAAAGACATGTCAAAAACTAATGCTGCCTATAAAACACTCCTTGAGAAAAACACATAAATCTACAGATTTAGGTGATTTTACTCAGGGTATTTTCATACCCTAAATATAATACAATCATGCGTAATAATAAGGTAACTTACACTTGTTATTCAATAATAATGATATATGATACAAACCATTAAAGGGCCTGTACCACACAAATTTTTATTCTTTTAGAAAAGTTCACATAAAATGTCAAGACAGACCACTGCACAATTAACTCGCAGCAGTACCAACACCTATAGCTGATGGAACTGAAGGTTGGAATAACTCCTTGTACCATTATAATGGCACCAACAAATATAAATTACAATTACATAAAAAAGCTTGAATTTGAAAACCTCGTCTATTATTCATGTTACTACTGCAATGCCAAGGACACAATATTTACATAAGCTGAAATCAAAGTGCAAAAGGTTCCCAACATGAATATTCACAGGACACCTATTCTGATTTTGGAATCCCCATGTCTTTTTTAATCCTGCCACTGTAGGATTATTGCAAACAAAACTTATATGCAATGGAAAAACTCCTGATTGTCTAACAAATAAGAAACACTAACAAATATTAAATTACAAATACGAAATTATTCAGTTACTTTTTGACAAGACATCATCCTAACTATTGACCAGTTGGAAAGCCACGATAATTCCTTGTTTCATACTGTTTCTGTGTTGGTCTTTCACCATACACGTTAGCACCATGAATCACATCATGTCTGCTAAAACACATAAACAGCTGTGCATTTGGAGTGAGTGTTATAAGTATCAAATGAAATGCCAACACTTCACACAGTGTTAATAAATAACACAAACACTGAAATATAGTGTATAACTACATATCACATCATAAAATTCAGTTAAAAAAACAATGGCATATTTCCTTGTGAATGAAACAAATAATCCAAACAGGAACCCTGTCTAGAACTGTAACCTGAAATATCTATGAGTATGAATACAGAAGCATATAAATACTTTGTCACTGCTATGTTGACTGAAGTTTTGGGATTAACCAAATACTTAATAACATCAACTTCCATTCCAAAATACATGTACAGTGACACATGTCACCGTAGAAATTAATTCTCCTCTTGATGCAGCTGCTACTGGTAATGGCTTCTCTACAGTACTCTGTAATAAACATTTTGCCATGAGAACGAGGTAAGGACAGGTGATTACAGGTGACTGGACATGGGCATACTGACCATCCTTGTCAAGCGGCTCCGATGCCACTGTCTGAACCTCCTTGCTGTACGTCACATTTTCCTTGGGTGGGATGTTCGTCTCTGACACTTTACACATTGATAAATTCACCTTTCTCTTGGAGCTGAAAAGTAAGTTACATCTAATGAGCACGATCCTGACACTGGTATTTTGGAGATTTCAGGAAATTGAAAGGATGCAGTGAACTTCATTACTGAATTCTACATGGCGGTATTTAATGAAAGTGGTCTGAAAACATATACGTATAGGTAACCATTAGGAAATATACAAATTTGGACAAAACAAACCAGTGGTAAAAGGATTGTAAGATATCACAATATCCTCTTACCTAATTCTTTTATATTTTCATGTTTACTTAATCAGAAAGTTATTGTTACATTTTTTTTAAACAACATGTATAGTCACTATTTCCAAATAACAGCTGCTTTCCTCTCTGAAACATGAGACAACCCCGGGAAATACCACCATTTTCCAAACTTTGTATGAATAACATGCAAGGAGATTTGTTAATCAACAATATTACCGTAATCTTGCCAGAAGTATTTTCACAGTTGATACAAGTGCTTTATTGGATAAAATTGTTTTAAAGTGATGCTTTTTCATCTGCTATAAGGATCATTATTGATAAAAAAGAAGCATGTGCCCTGAGGCAGCCAATCACATTACAGTAATGGAGACTGTTCTCTTGTACGATAACTTTCACATTTAGATGGAAGTTTTTGGTTGAATCATGTTATTTCAAATGTTTTAAGCAGGAAGTCACAACTTTAAATTAAAATCTGAAACACCATGGACATACTGTTCTAGATTGCTACCTGTGACAAAACATTTCTCTTGGGTATATATTTGCATTAAATATTGTTTCCAAGCATAGATCAAAGCAATAATAGTCAAGATGTCATGCGACTGATATTACACAATCACGAAAGACAAACACAGGTGAAAATAACATTAAACCTGTAGATAAAATTCAATAAATTGAAATGTAATACATGTTTCTGACATTGTGAAAAGTGGGAGATTTAATAAATGATTCATATAACAGGTAGATTTAAAAATTATATATATCATTTTGAGGTGCCTACGCCCTTTCTGGTTATCTGGCCTCAGGTGTCTTGGCTGGTTTTCCAGACTGTGGTGTTGACTGGGTTAATACACAGAAAACCTGGAATGAGTTAACCGCTGATATTACGGACTGCTGATCAAATGGCTTGTAGCCTTTATCAACAACTAAGTCCTAAGCAGCATCCCTTAGTCTCACCTTGATGGAGCAACTGTTTGAGTTATCTCCCCTTGTTTGTTAGGTTGGGCCCCAGGAGGCAGCCCCTTTTCAGCAGTTGCATCTGGAGAAATAATTTCAGCTGTAATGAAAAAATACATTAAAGCACCCTTCACCATATTGCCTTACCCATACATAAGTCCACAAACATACTGAACAAGCATCACAACACCACAACCTCACTATACTTCACTCAGTATATCAGCCTATACCATATTCACCATAATAAGTATCTTGGCTGCTCAGGAAATAGACAAAGTGGGGTAGTCATACAAAAATATACATCATCAGTTAAATCATTTTCATGCAGTTAATTATTTTCAATGTAATGTAAATATACCCATCCTCCACTGTTTTCTGTTAAAAAATAATGCTCTAATGTACCAGAGCTCCGGATAAGATTTAGCTCATGTGGGTACTGTACCCACTGTATTTTTTGGGGAGTGGGTATTATGAATGCTGAGTGGGTATTTCATTTTCCGTTACCCACTGCTTTCAAATATGTGCGTACTTCAGTCATTTTACTCACTTAAGTATTATGTCATTGAGTAAGTTTACTAAGCAGGTATGTTCTGCCTTATGTCATACCTAATCAAAAACAACTTAAATATAATGGAAATGATTTCATAAAAAATCACTGATCCTATACTGACAGTACAACACTTGTCCTATACTAACAGTACAGCTTGATAGCAATCGATGTCTTTTTCATTACGCAAGCGATTTTTATAAATATATTTCGTACGCATTTGTTTTAAAGTTTTGGGTATCTAAAATTTTCAATGCGTAATTGGCAACAATTTTCATTTTCAATGCTGCATATTTTTCTATGCGTATTTTACCTGGATACGCAGCTTATCTGGGCCTCTGAATGTACACAAGGAAAACTGAATTCATGTAAATTCTCTGTGGGGAGTTTTTGCAAAGATTACTTACCTATTGGTCTAAAAGATGATCAGAAGGGGCTTATTGGAATAGGGCGCTTTATAAGACAAATACAATAGATACACAACAGAAAATATTCCTACTACAATACACTAAAGTAGATAATCTAAAACATTGCTACTCTTGGGAAGGATGATGTGATACTATGCTTCAAACACAGAGTGATAATGTTTAGATGCTTAAGCATCATGAACATAAGCTATGTTGCTGGATATTACAAAATGTAAGCTTGAAAATGTTAAAACCCATACTGCTTTTTTGTTTTCAACTTTAACACAGCACCATCAGTTTTACGAGTACCTCTACACTGAAATTCAGAATGGTCATCTGGTTAATAATGTTCGTAAATATCAGCTATTCTACCTCTTATTTTGCCTTATATGAAAAATAAGATTCTCATCACACTGAAAAACATGAAAAAATACAAACAACCATAGAATGACACAAGACATGACCGAGGTGGTGACTAATTATCATGACTGATAATGATCACTAAAATTGATATTTTCTGTGTTTTTTAATTTCATTGTTTATCAGATTGATATTCTGTTCAACATAACATCAGATGTTTTTCCTGATTCTGATTCCACAATAATCATCAAAATGTAATTGGCCTTGTGAAACAGATTCCAGATCTTTACATTAAAATGTGAAAGAAGTGATTATATAAAGTTTGTCATACTTTGAACGTAAGCTTAAGCTTCCATTTCATTCTTCATATATTTAAACTTAATCCAAGCATTGTATTTAATAACATGTATGGAGTAATGCAACAACCCAAGTGTATTGTAAAATCACTTAGAAATTATTTTGTTTTGACAGTATTCAACTTTTCTGTTCAAAGGGAGCTAAGCGTGTACCTGCAGGAGGGATGCCCAGATCCCGAAGCATCTTGTCAGTTTCAGTCCGGAGATCAGTCGGCGGCTTGGCCTTAGTGTCTTCACTCTAAAATACAGACAGTGATATTACAGCTCTCCACTGATAACCAGTTGCCTTCACAACATCAAATGACCACATATTCTCCATTCTGTTTCTCTGTTATACTTAAACACCATATCTGTGTTTACTGCACAAGTATCTGCATATTGACAAGACTGTTTATCAGTATGAATCATATTTGTTTTAGACATGACAAATATCAATTTTGCATTAAATGTACAATATATTTTTTAACAGTAAACAAGGTAAAGTTTACGATTAATCAAAAAAGAATTCATTCCGTTTCAAAGCATAGTTGTATCATGTGTGAAAAAGTTCACATTCAAAATTCCACACTCAGGTCAACTAAGTCACACATGCCCTTCAAAAAAGTAATAATTCAAAACTAACTTAACAAAAAAAATCACCTTTATGCATGACAAACACCTCTTACTATTTGATCAACATTAAAAATATAAAAAATCCCTTGGGCCATGATAATAACATTTAGGAAGGCTAACCCAGTGGCCACTGAAATATATTAACTAAACAAGTATCAAAGAAACTTAAATTTTAGTTCCAGGTAAGGCATATAGTTTCTGGGAAAATTGATTACATTTACGGTTACGAAATACAGATTATGGAATTCGCAATGTTCATGCTGCACTCGTGAAAATTTATCACAACCCAACACAAAAAATCTTGCAGGACCTGTTTCTACTCAAAAGAAACAAATCTAACTAGGGCTTAAATGTTCTTCTAATGTCTAGCTTTGCCCTCTCCACATGGCTGAATCTCTAATGTCAACTCATGACATTGATGAGCTGTCTTGCTTATTCAGAATGCTAATTTTATTATAGCATCGTCAATAGAACTGTGTTGCGCTTTTTTTTTCTACACTACATCCACCATGTCTTCAAAAATCACCCCAAGGCAGTTTATGATCCTTATTTCTTTAGAACATTAGATGTGACACTTGAGATGTTGAAGGGACTGAAGTGATCATTTGTTACATGAAACACAGAAGGTCCTAAATTGATTCGGGTGAAAGGTTGATGTTTCCAGAAGTTTTAAGGAGACAAGTTGCATTGTCCAAATATGTGTTGTCTGAATGTCCTTACCATAACATCACTTCAACTTTACAACTAAATTGACAAAAACAAAACTGACAAAGGGTTCAAGTTCATTCATCAGACCACCACCATATCGGCATAAACAAACTGAAAGGCTTAAAAAGCTTGACTGGGAAAAGCAGGAAAAGAAAAGGAAAATATTCCACAGTGCCATTTTTGCCTCATTCTAATAGGATTTCTTCTTGATATAAGGAAATACTGATTCAGGCATATCTGGCAATGATGAGAATGTATTCTTAATTTTCTTAAAATATTTTTACTTACAATAATGAACAAAGAAACTAGAATCGTTAATATTTTGGGGACTACTTTCACAACAATTTCTCTATTGAAAAATCTTTTTATAAAGATAGCCATGACACCAAACTTGTTTTGCCCCTAACTTGCATATCTTAGGACATTCTTATGATGGGATGTTCTTCTCAGTCAATATTCAGTTGGTGTCCAAGAATAAGAGCTGATCAGAACAAAACATATATTGAATGGGGACTTATTTCAATTGTTGAAAAGATAAGGCACAGGACATTTATATAATATGGAGCAACTTTAGATAGGATTCTCTTCTACCATATCTAGAAACCCTAAATCCCAATTTGGTATTTTCATCACAGTCTACTTATGTCTGGATTGTTGCATGTACTAATGATCTTGGTGCTATTGTACAAAACAACATTGGCTCTATGACTATCGTAAGTCTTTGTTAAGGTATAGGACTTATGATCACCTTAGCGTTAAGGTTGTTCTGTACAACGGCACCCTGCACTTTCAAAAATCGTAAAACTGGACTGCTTCTAAAATTATTGGGCTTCCTATCGTAAGCCCTTCAAAAAGGCACTTTTAAAAATCCTACTCACTACACTTTTCTGAATATTCAAATTATTCTGGATGAGTGCGTTGGGATTCAAACTATCGAAAGTTTGTTCCAGCTAGCATGCATTAACAACAAATTCTATGAGCTTTAATGGTCAAAATTCTATTCAATATCTATCTTTGTGTACTAAATTGATGTATTTATATCCTGATTATTTCACGAATACCAATTGCAATGTTATGTATGGCTGCTTTATGAAAGAAAAACTGGAGACCGTATGATGAAAAACAAATTTCCCTTGGGACAATAAAGAATTATCTTATCTTATCTTATCTTAACATTACCATGACCACAAGCCATAAGGAACCACTTGGCTACTGACTAAAAGTAAAAGCACTGGGAGCAAGCAAACCACAAGCATTAGTAACCTGTTGCCGCTGTACAGATTCATCTTTAGATAGAGACGAGCTTTTCTGAAAATAACCACAACACACAACATGGAACAAATCAATTATAAGTATCACATTGTAGCATATCAGGTACTGCCAGTGACATGCATTTAGTCATGACATAGACACAATATTCTCATGATCGATATGTGCATAATTTATGCTGTCTTGTTTGCACTCGTCGTCTGGATATGTGCATTTGGAACTGCCCCAAGCAAATGGTGTGGAATTACGATTGCAAATGTCGCATATGAGAAAATCGTAAAACGTCTACGCATGTAGCTTAAACTTAAGTTAATGTTAAACTGATCGTCGTAAAATAGTCTGCATGACTCATAATAATAAAAGATGGACGCCCGAGAATGACACTTCACTCAAACTGTTTCGTACCGGTTGACTTTTCTTTATGCGCTCCTTCTCACTTCTCTCTTTCCTCATTTGCTCGAGGCGAGCCTTCTTTCTCTCTAACTCGGCCTTCCTGTCAGCCATGATGGCAGTGTTTCTGCAAAATCAACCTCTTTAAATGATATCCTTCTCAACTCTCGTCCTCCATCAATTTATTTTCTGCGGAACTACTGTTGACGTAATTCACGCGATGTTCCGAACAAATATATGTACAAAATAGTATATCCCACACAACTTATTTTATATCAGTAATATTAACCTTGATCGTCTATTGATATAAATGTCTTTTGACAGAAAATATTATTGGTTGCTAGGTTTTACGCTCTATTTGGGCAGTCTTTCTTATACGATTGAAGAAAACGTGAGAAAATTCTTGAAAGGTCAGACACACAAAAAACCACATTCTTATGAAAAACACGAAAGTGCCACATTTGATCTCTTTTGACAGATTGAGTCGTATTTACATGTAGATTACCTCTGCCTGTGAGTTTTCGTAGTTGCCCTTTTTGTCAGTTTTATGTCCGCAAAGATATATTTAAAAGGAAAAGGGTCTCTTTGAGAGAATAGTTTTAGGTTGGTACCGCTTGTCTCGTTAGGGCAAATTAATAACTTGTCATAAATATTTTGAGCAGTATTATTTGATTAATCCTGTATATAATGCTGTTCAACATATTTATGCAATACGTAGAGGCCATGGACTTGTTTTCCGGACTGTCTATCAAATTCAAAATTTAATAATCTGAAGGGACAATATGTTAACTAATAAACTCATCTCTTAGACGTCACATATTCTTTCAACTCCACACGTTATCGAATAATATTTGACACTGCCCTGAAAATGTGACACAGAATATGCGTCCAGTGACAGTTAATTTCGTGGCAAAGTATGTGATGCCTCAATAACAGGTGAACTATTTCTTTGAACGAATGCTTTTTTATGACCATATTGATATTTTCTTCCATTATTATCAGTTGTAGCACAAGCAGTACATCATAGGTCACCATTTTATTCGTAGAGCATCATGCGAATTTGACCTCTAGCAGACAGCATGTATTGATGTAGGGAGAAGGTACTGTCCTCAGCTCAATGTGTACATTATTGTCATTCTCTAAAGCGTTTAACATGATAGTTCTCAAAACGCATTTAGGTGTATCTTGCTAAAGCGTATTTTATTTCGAAAGTGACTCGCATTTCGAGAGAGCATTGCATGTTGCACTGGGCACCTTTCAATCTTGACTCGAGATTGTTGTGTAACTTTTAGACTGATCACAATATTTTCTACAAATCGAAGTGTTGATAACAATGGCGACACCCATCAGCCATGTATCTAGGGTACGTGCTTTATATAAAGGCATCTTAAAGCTCCATAGAGGTCTTCCTCTAGAAATGAAAGCGATTGGGGACCAGTATGTGAAATCGGAATTCAGACTACACAAGAGTGCTCCACATCAAGAGACAAAGATCTTCATGTCAGAGTGGACAGTAAGAACTGATTTCTGTTGTAATAATATGTCTTTTGGTAACATGTGGCCGAGTCAAGTTTTAATTATTAATAGTTTATAGGTTTCAGTTTTAAGTGTGTGTATCAGGGGTGGAAATAACTTTAAAATTGCTAGTGTATTCCGGTACAGTGGCACATGTAAAATCACTTGCCCTGATAATTTTTCCACTATACCGGCCGTTTTCTTGTTGATTTTTTAAATAAACAACATAATTAATATTGGAAAGTCAACTGGACACCGGTACAGTGTGATATACAAATTTGCTTGCCCGACAAAAAACCCCACTGGACTCGGCGTCGGGCAATGGGTTATTTCCACCCCTGTGTATATTGTGGTTGGATAGTTTGTAGGTTTCAGCTTTTTTACTTTACAGATAAAATATTACTGTACAAACCCTGGCCCTCTGAGTTAAATGCAATTACTAATTCCGCAATAGCCACGTGCACTCTGCACAAGCTTCTTTTGCCTATTTGATTCAGTTTGTCTGGTCAGCTTGCCATATACTGTCCATTTAGTTTTAAAGGTTGCTGTCACACATAACTTGTTAGCAGTCACATACATATCTTTTCTAGGAGATCACCTCGATTTATGTTTTCATGGAATATTGCTGGGATATGATGAAGATTTCATTATTTATAATGACTGTGATCCTCGACTGCCTAGTTGATACTACAGTAGCATTGTGTTTTGGGTGCACGACCCACCAACATCCTAACCCATATCCGCCACTACACAAATACACTATCAACAACCAAAAGTCTGCATGTTAAGACAAACATGACATCACTGATGCATGCTTTTAGTTTTAACATATAGGTTTGAATAAACATGTAGGGGTATCATGATATGTCCATCTCTTGTATCTACACACATGACACATTACTTGAGTTCAAATACTATATGGATGACAGATTAACAGCAACCAGTTGTTTTTCTGAAGGCAGCTTGCAATCAGGATTAGCATTTTCTTAGTGGCTAATGATTGAAATGCACCTTGAAAATTAGTTTTACCTTCAACTTTGATTCCTGGTAAATAGAATTTGATTTTGTAATTTTAGCAAAATATATATTTCTCAATTTTCACCAAAACATTTTCTGTTTCATTTGTTTTAGAAATACTACATAACATTGGCAAAGCAGCTTGGTCAACGGAAACAGATACAGACGATTGGTGTTGAACTTTCTGAGGAATTGATGGATAATTTCCGAGAGGAACAAATTGGACAGTTGATGGAACTACTGAAAGAGTCGCATAAACCAATGAAAGAAGGGAGCTAGCATTGACGGGGAAATTGTGTGTGTCTGTCCTTGGTGGAATTTAAATAGGGATGTGTAAACTGAAATGAACTAATAAACTTTTATAGCTTTTTCCTGTTATCCATACACTAGTTGAATTTCAGTGAGTGCCAAAATGAAAAGTCGGGGAACCCAAGCTTCCTTGGAGTGAGTGAAGTCTTTACACCTGTAGTAAGATACATTCCAGAGCCTTTGTTATACATGCTAAACATGCTGATGTATGGAAAAAATAACTTGGTAATAATTAGGTACCATGTTTTCAAAATAGGGGGTGACGGGGTAGCCTAGTGGTTAAAGCGTTCACTCGTCATGCCGAAAACCCGGGTTCGATTCCCCACATGGGTAAAATGTGTGAAGCTCATTTCTGGTGTTCCCCGCCGTGATATTGCTGGAATATTGCTCAAAGCTCTGGAATATAACCTCACTCAAAATAACATTTGACTACAAACAAAGTTTACAGTGACATGTATGTACTGATGTTTTTGTAGTTTAAGTGCATTCCTTTTTCCAAAAGACTGTGTTTGTGCTTAAAGCCTGTGAATAATTTGGTGAAACCAGTGGTTGATTGCAAGAGCAATATTCCACACAATCTGGGTATGAGTACAACAATGAGACTATGGTGCAAATGTGGGTATGGTGACTTGATTTTTACCTAGCCTGACTGAACAGTTAGCTGATATTCGAGGTGGACTGACTTCAGCCCAATACATAACTGCATTCATTTGATCAGGTTTTATGATTTTATGCCGCTTTTAGCAATATTCCAGCAATGTCACAGCAGCTGACACTAGAAATGGGCTTCACACATTGTACCCATTTGGGGAATCGAAGACGGATCTTCACCGACTTCAGCGTGACCATTAGGCTAGCCCACCGCCCCCATCGCACTGGAAACTAATATATCCAAGAAAGTGCATGCAAGTCTAGATTTCCACAGTTTCAGGAAAATTAAAAAGTATCTTGGTTCCCTTTCATTATATTTTATGATTATTTTTTATGAACAGTTTTATTTCTGTAAAATATGTTCATTTCAAAGACTAGATGTTAGTCTACCACCTACAGTGACCAATTTCATTCATTCTGTTTTCGGTAATGTGTTCATGGAACTTTGAATGTAATCTAAATTTATTGAGTACATAAGAAATTTCAATGGTTGGTCAGTTAGTTTTGGAATCCACTCACTTTTTGTGTATGAAACATAGTTAGAGACTAACACTTTCATGTTATTACTTACTTTTAAAACTAACAAACTGGAGTGATCTCCCTTTGTACATAAACTCTACAACAATACATGACAAGATGAGTAGGGCTATTCCAGGTTGTATAAAGAAATATCAAAACATACCTGTATATCGAGAAGGTAAACTAATCTGTTTAATGAGAAATGATGTTAGCATCAATAACGAGGATGCCACTCTTCAACCAAAGCCTTCTCCATGCATCCCGGCGTACTATTGATTCAGGTCAGGGACCTGATGGCAGTCTCCATGACGTTGATTCCAGCGTTTGAAGAAATTTCGTATCAACATCATGCGGTATCGCGGCCGAGTATTATCATGCTGGAACTGTAGACCTGGGCCATGAGCGCGCCATGAAAGAGCGAGTTCAGGGGTGAAGCACCTGGCAAATGCGTGCGGTAAGCAGCAGCTGAGAGGTTTCCACGGATGACTAGAAGTCGGGAGCGGTTGTTCCCACAGAAAGCACCCACACCATGCAACTTCCGTCCCCGAGTCTGTCGACTTCCTGTCCACAACATTGGGCATACCGTTCATGGCGTCGTCTCCAGACTCTATGCCTGCCGATCCCATGAATCTGAGGGTAAACCTGGATTGAAGCTAAAGACGCGACTCGATTCCAGTCTCTCTCTAAATCCATCGTGGGTGGCGTCCGACCCGCAGCAGGCGTTGGCGTTGATGAAACGCGGCGTCAATATTGGCCCACGATATGGATGTCGAGAATGGAGATTGGCAGCCCGCAGCGATTTCGAATGGTCTGTGAGGACAGTCGACCTCTTAACATCTCAGCCCTGGTTCCTGAGCCGGCAGAAATCTGTCCGTAGGTGGCGTGAGAGACGATTGACAGCCTTCTGCTCCATGGCGTCACCGCGTGGAGCTGACCTGACCTTAGGCGGTCAGAAGTGGTGCCAGTTTGTTGTAGACGACCTCACAAGTCATATACAGTACAACGGCTGCATCCCATTGCTGTTCGCGGCGTCAATAACTGATCTTCCCGCTTGCAACATGCCAGCGGCATGCGTTCCGTTGCACATTTGACAATCGTGGCATTTCAAGTACCCGTTAGAACTGTGGTTTAAGAGTGTTTTTCAAATCTTGAGGCCAAAATGCAAACACGTGCATATGAAGAAAACTTCGATGCAAAGATCACGTGATCGACTGCGCGTGCAAAACCTGATTTGGCACTAACGTCATTTGCACGAGGAATGGATGGGTTTGAGTGAGTTTTGCTAACGTTTTTCTAGAGTCGAAAGATAGGGATCCCATTTCGGATACATAGATGTATCATCAGAGAAACATTATTCATTATTTTTCAAATTACATTTTGTGAAGTTTCTTTTTTGACTCAGTATATATAGATGACAAGATTAACTATCAACCAGTTGTTTTTCTGAAGGCAGCTTGCAATCAGGATTAGCATTTTCTTAGTGGCTAATGATTGAAATGCACCTTGAAAATGAGTTTTACCTTCAACTTTGATTCCTGGTAAATAGAATTTGATTTTGTAATTTTAGCAAAATATATATTTCTCAATTTTCAGCAAAACATTTTCTGTTTCATTTGTTTTAGAAATACTACATAACATTGGCAAAGCAGCTTGGTCAACGGAAACAGATACAGACGATTGGTGTTGAACTTTCTGAGGAATTGATGGATAATTTCCGAGAGGAACAAATTGGACAGTTGATGGAACTACTGAAAGAGTCGCATAAACCAATGAAAGAAGGGAGCTAGCGTTGACGGGGAAATTGTGTGTGTCTGTCCTTGGTGGAATTTAAATGGGGATGTGTAAACTGAAATGAACTAATAAACTTTTATAGCTTTTTCCTGTTATTCATACACTAGTTGAATTTCAGTGAGTGCCAAAATGAAAAGTCGGGGAACCCAAGCTTCCTTGGAGTGAGTGAAGTCTTTACACCTGTAGTAAGATATATTCCTGGTTAAAGCGTTCGCTCGTCACGCCGAAGACCCAGGTTCGATTCCCCACATGGGTAAAATGTGTGAAGCCCATTTCTGGTGTTCCCCGCTGTGATATTGCTGGAATATTGCTCAAAGCGGCGTATAACCTCACTCACTCACTCAAAACATTTGACTACAAATTTTCAGTGACATGTATGTGCTGACATTTTTGTAGTTTAAGTGCATTCCTTTTTCCAAAAGACTGTGTTTGTGCTTAAAGTCTGTGAATAATTTGGTGAAACCATTGGTTGATTGCAAGAGCAATATTCCACACAATCTGGGTATGAGTACAACAATGAGACTATGGTGCAAATGTGGGTATGGTGACTTGATTTTTACCTAGCCTGACTGAACAGTTAGCTGATATTCGAGGTGGACTGACTTCAGCCCAATACATAATTGCATTCATTTGGAACAGGTTTTATGATTTTATGCCGCTTTTAGCAATATTCCAGCAATGTCACAGCAGGTGACACCAGAAATTGGCTTCACACATTGTACCCATTTGGGGAATCGAAGCCGGGTCTTCAGCGTGACCATTAGGCTAGCCCATCGCACTGGAAACTAATATATCCAAGAAAGCGCATGCAAGTCTAGATTTCCACAGTTTCAGGAAAATTAAAAAGTATCTCGGCTCCCTTTCATTATATTTTATGATTATTTTTTTATGAACAGTTTTATTTCTGTAAAATATGTTCATTTCAAAGACTCGATGTTAGTCTACCACCTACATTGACCAATTTCATTCATTCTGTTTTCGGTAATGTGTTCATGGAACTTTGAATGTAATCTAAATTTATTGAGTACATAAGAAATTTCAATGGTTGGTGAGTTAGTTTTGGAATCCACTAACATTTTGTATATGAAACATATACTAGCCACATAAAGAAACTGTGCACACAGAAAATTCCTTCAGAATTGGAATACAACACAGAAAAGACGACATGATGTAGACACTTTATAAGCTGAAGTATCGGGCCTTGACAACATGTCAAAAGAACATGAACAATATCCGTAACGATGACGTCAGAAGTTCAAAATTGAGTCGGGGGTCACACGTCAAAGTCACAAAGTCAATAACGGGTATGACCATCATGCGCGTGAAGCACAGCAGTGCATCGGCGACGCGCATAGAGGCTACCAAATTTTCCAAATGAAGGCCTGGGGAATGGTTTGGGGCGTGGTCACGACCCTGTGTCTGGAACCTGTGTCTGATATGAGTCACCCGAATCCATCTGTCCTGTCTTGGCATCGTTACTCGGGGGCGTTTCAGCGTGGGTGGTCGGCAACGCGTTATTACTGTTTCCCTAGCAGCCTGACCAATGCAGATGTCGTGTTCACGATGGCATAGGGAATGTGCTGCTGCCACCTGTTGTTGGCTCATGCCTGCTCGAACCATTCCAATGGCTTCATGGCGTTGAGCACATGTTAATCTTGGCATGATGTGCACGTGACTTTTCATGTGAATTTGTGAACGTTTGAATGACCAAAGATCAAGCTTTCGACAGTGACATCAATTTCTGAGTTTCACATGTTGTGTGCAGCTGCACAGGCTGCATGTGCAGTAACACATTGCAAGTCCATAGGCCACCATCAATGACCTCACGTCGCCTGGCACCTGCATGAGCGTTTGATTGTCTCCAATACTTGCTATGTTCACACCTTTATTTTGCATAAAGACGCTGTCTGCCTATCTTTATATTTTCTGTGTGCACAGTTTCTTTATGTGGACAGTATAGTTAGAGACTTTAACATTCATGTTATTACTTTCTTTTAAAACTAACAAACTGGAGTGATCTCCCTTTGTACATAAACTCTACAACAATACATGACAAGAGGAGTAGGGCTATTCCAGGTTGTAAAAAGAAATATAAAAA